TATGAGTTTTTTCCGTGCACTTATTAATAATTCAGAGTTGAGTTTTTTTTCATTAGTTCGGTTTTTTCTCTTAATACTAAGTTAAATAAACGAAAATTTTCATGTTTTTATAAGTTTTCGGTATCGTAATGAAAAATAATGTTCAATACTCGCCTCGAAAGTGTCATTGCGGGGCACGATGGCGTTTCCAGCGCTCGGCTTCGCCTCGCGCGAAAATGCCATCTCTCCCCGCAATGAGTCACTTTCCAGTCTAGTAATGAAAACTACTATTATTATTTTAGAGATTCAATTATTTGATATAACAGAAAAAATACCTATTATTTCTCTATCATACTTATTGCGGCTAAAATGGCACTTGTATTTTTGCACTATAATGTAAATAAATATTTACCTCTTTACTTGGAAAATCATATATCTAGAATTCGATTGCAAAAAAAGAAATATAAATCCATTACATAATAGTTTACAAGTTTCTTAATATGATAACCATATAAATTGTTGGTTGTTTATACTTAACTGTAATTGTTCCTATATTGAATAAATTAGACATTGAACATGGAAACATTTTAGTGCAAATCCAATCAGGCAAATGTAAATTTGTTTAGTCTGTAGGATTGCTGTAGCGGTAGTTTTTGTTTACTTAATTTTTTTTAAATCTTATATTACAGTTTGGAGTTAATTCCAACCTTCTAAACTAAAATTGAACATTACCAAAAAAAAATTTTTTTGTATTTATTGAAGAGTTTAGATACAAAATGTAACACAATGTTCGCTCTTACAAGTAATCCACTAGGGAAATCAATTTACAAGATAAGTCACCTTACGATGCAATTTACAGCCGAACTAAAACAAAGAGAAGTTAACAAGTCAGTTGAGCAGCCAACAAGTCATAATTAATGCAATTTGCATCTTCAGTTCGTTAGAAGATCATCCTCATTAACCACATTACGGGATCTAGTTTGCATAGATTGTTTCAATATAAACTCTTTTATTTATTTACGATTATATTTCCATTTATTTGAATATTAAAATAATACATTACATAGACGAAAAATGTCCGAATATTAAAGAACGGGGTCTTTGTCAGTAGTTAAAGTTGGAACTTGAGTAATTCCCCACCATTCACAAAGGTTTAAGTTTTACATGGTACGGTACAGCAGTTATTCACATAGGATTTGTTACTTTTACATAATTTTGTATTACAAACTTGCACTAATTTCTGTTTCTAATACAAATGTCAAATTAAAAGATTGAACATTTTATTTAATCGATGTTTGTATTGTTACAAAAGAATAAATGGAGCCGAAACTCATTTAAATTAAGATTATTGTTTTTACCATGGGAATCTTACTAATATTATAAATGTGAAAGTTTGTGTGTTTGTTTGTTTATTTGTTTGTTTGAAGTTCAATCACGCTTTAACTACTGGTCGGATTTGGCTGAAATTTGGTATGATGATAGCTCACATTCCCGATTAACATATAGACATATTCTTATCTCAAAAATCCTTTCGGGCTGCACCCCGGTGGCTTTGGAGATTTCCATGTAAACCTTATGAGTATTCAAGGGATTAAAGGATTTTGTCAGCAGTTTCAATTACACAATTTGTTCTATGATATTCAATATTATTACAAGTTATAAGGTTCACCGACAGGGTGCAACACTATTATTAGATTTTTCATTCATGACAGCATAGCTAATTTGAACCAAGCCGCAACAAAAGGCTGAGATGCACAATGAGAATTGTTAAAGTAGGATTGTTTACAGTTAAGTATATGTTTTAATTTATAAATAATGTTTTGATATTGTGCGGATATTCAATAATTTATTTTTTATTGGTTTAGGTGCAGTGGTAGAACATTATTGCTATGGTATGTGTATTATACAATCGCTTCCGTAAATTAAAAGAACCAAATTTTCTCAAACCGTGTCCTCTTCCATTGCAAACACAAAGCATGAGTATAACTGCAATAAGCATTTTATACTTACATACGCAAACCCCGTACGAAGGCGGATATTCTGCTAGCATCTTTATAATTATTATATCATAATTAGTATTTAAAATAAGTAAATCTGGTCTACGTTGTTTAACGAGGTAGTAACAGATTTATCATAATAATCAAATGTTTGATATCTGTGTTTCAAGCAAACATAATAGAAGTAAGTCACAATGCCACCCAAAATGAGATATTGTTTTCCTAATATGTAAATATTACCTCAAAATAAACAAACCAACCGATAAGCAAAGTAGGTCATGAGTGAAGAAACAGATGACTCAGAATTATAAGAATACAATGACAGCTGATAACAAACTACCAAATCAGCTGTTCATAGTGCCGATGTGATATCAACGAACTGTGCTTTAAGTTTACCCGCTTCGCAACGGGAAGAGGACGCGAAAGTTGACAATGGTGTTCTTTAATGCTGTATGAAATAGTTACACACATATTATTCATTTTAGAAACAAAACTTAATTCCTGCACAGTGCGGTAATAGTTATTTGTGTAACTAGTGGTAAATGTTACGCACGAGCCGTAGGCGAGTGCAGTGCAGTGCAGCAAAGGCAGTTTTATCATTAGTCATAATAATGTAGGAATAGTAATATTTAAAAACCATACCAAGTAGGCTATATTAAATAACAAATTAACAGTCAACCCAAACACAACCTATCAATAACAAAACCTAAATAATATATTAGTTTTACTACATTTCAAAATGAACTGCAAGTTTTTCAAATTTGAAAGAAAGTTACAGTTTAGCACCTTACTATGAATTCAATGGAACTGGCACAAATAACTGTTAAGTTTTAAAACAATTAGTCAGCTGTTAAACCGCCAGTAAGGTTAGGTTATGTCAGCTGATTGGAAGCTGGACCATGAAGTGCTAGGTTGAGGTTATGTTATCAGGTTGGCAATCCTGCCACTGTTAGTGGCCTGTGCTGAAATGTTGGTACTAGTACCATAATAACAGGTGTTGAGTTTAATAGTAGTGCTTGTGGTTTGTTTGAGTTGCGTTGGTAAGATGGATTCTGCCGATAGAAAACTTGTGAATTCGCAAAATAAAACTATTGTTACTTCAAGCTCTCCTGCTAGGTGAATAATTAGAATTACAATTTATATTTTATTTATTCTCTACGGTAATCAAAACCTAGATATTTGTGCCAAGTGTTTAAACTACAGTAGTTATGCTTTTTTAAATAGGACTTTTTAATTTTGTGTAATTAACGAAAATAACTTTGTTTTATGTAGTGTAGGCTTACCTTGTACATGAGCTAAAAATACAATTTGATAGTTCTCAAAGTTTATCTTTGTTTTTAAATTTAAAATATGCTCAATTTAATAAACTATAAATACACATTAAATTGTCTGTATTTTCAAAGTAAGTGTTAAATGCAATTTAGCGCAGACACTTTGATTTAATTGCATTAAAATAAAATGAAAGGCAAATGGTTTTCTTCATTCTCAAATGTGTAAAATAAAATTAACTACCAAGTTTCAATGTAAAACACAATCACACAAAATATACTCATTTATGAAAAACTTTGAGACATGGTTATTATTTTATTGTAAAGTTGTTTATTACATAGTCTAATAAATAATACTATAATAGTTTAACTGGTCATCCACACACCATATTCTATATGAAAAGGTAGATATAAATGCCAACTCCAATGAATACTAGCTCCAGAGGCAATACAAAATAACACTGACAGTTCTTTACTTTTTACCATGTTTTTGTCATTTTCAATACAATTTTTTAAATTTCATTTTGATTGAAACCAAAACCCAAACTGTAACCTTATCTTTTTAATAAATCCCCAACCCAATCCACTTCAAACAGTCCTTTCCACTTGTCAATTTGTCACTTGAACATTGGATTAAAGTCAAATTAAAATCAAATCAGCTGATAAGATATGAGTAGTGAAGAACCACTTATTGTTTATCTATACACCTTCTATGCAGGATTAAAAATTAAATTTATGAGTGGGATACAACAAAAATGTTGCTAATGTGTATTATCTTTGCTCTTTAGTCTTCTTACTAGCTTGGCAATCTCTTTATTATTGACCGTTGATTGAAGTCATAATAAAAATAACCTTAACATAGGTTATTTACATTTTTAATAGAACTTTCTATTTCCACATATGATTTTATAAAATATAAACGAACATGAAAAGCATTATTTTTTGGGGATTTTTTTGCTGTTGATTACAAGTTATGTTTATAATAAATGTAAGCACTGAACATAGTCACAGAAAACATACTACTATAGTCCAACAATATTTAATACACTAAACAGTAGGGCTATTATTATCTATTTTTGACTCCTGCGATCACTCATACTTGCAGTTGAACTGAACAAGCAGAGGAAACAGGGACACAAAATACTGAATCTAGAAAAAGGGCGAGTGTAGGAAGTGGTGATTCATGCTGTTCCTAGAAAGATGAGCGATGAATACTGTCTTACGACACCTGTTGTACAAATTGTGTTATAAAAACTACCAACTCAGTATGTGAGTTGTCCTGGATTAATGAATTGGATATGTCAAGTAGACTTCTCATATCCTATTAAAAAAATCTGGAGAATGTTTTGATATGAATTTCATGTCTGGTTGAGTTTGAGTGAGTCAATGATCTTTGAATGTTTTTTATCTTTTTCTAGGGTAAATTTTATCGTGTGAGATTTATTTTTTTGGTACCAGAGGACTATCAAAAGTGAATAAATAGATAATTTTATTTGGTTAAAATTGCAAAGAAGTTGGTGACATTGTGAAAGTTACCTTGTAAACAAACACACTCTCAAAATTTCCTAGCTAGAAACATTATCTTAAATTTGTCTTCTTAAGTTGATCCATAAGGATTATAAAAATAAAATACTAAATGCAGTATATCTATGAGGTAACAACACTATACAATTTAAGTAATGACTGAAGTTGAATGTAAATGTTCAGATCGTAACTTATAAGTTTATTTATTACAAATTTAAATATTGTTTTTCAGAACCAGATACAGAGGGGGGCCAGGCACAGGGAATGCCTACAGAAAACTACGAAGAAGAGCCGTGTTTAAGAACGGAGAGTACAACGTCATCCAGACACATGTCTCCAAGAGACGAAGAAAATACTTGCAGGTAAGAATAGAGTGAAAATTTAAAAACGTACGTTTTCAGGAAAAGCACTTTGCAAATTTTTTCCCCCTTTTTTTCAAAACTTTTATTATTATTTTTATTTCATTAACATTTTAAGTTTCATAAAATGTCCATGGTAACGCAATATCTTTGGTAGTTTTTTTTTTTTAAAAGAGCATCTTTAGTGGAAAAACACAAAATCCTGTCACGACCATAACAGACGTTTAAATGAATATTAAAAATAGTTAATATTATTTTTATAACTATGTTTTGCTATAAACTAATTTACTTTTATGACCATTATACAATAAAAAGGTCACTGAGCGTTTGGTATATTTGGTCTTTCTAGAAAAAAATAAAAAAACTCAAAAAATTGAAAAAAGCCAATAAAATCTTTTTAAGTTTGTATAACTCCGAAAAAACTTACCTGAGACCCGAAAAATCGTTATGTTTGTATAGAGGTGTGCTTCTTTTGTGTATAAAACATTGAAATATGACGATATTTTAATTTTTGAAATTTTTATGATAGAAATCATAAACGTGATGGTCAGGGACAAGTGGTACGGTCGTGAGTTTTCTGAAATAATCTAAATCTTTCTAAACAATCCTTCAATTATACTGTTAGTTATAATAAAAATATGTGTTTCAATTGAACTAAACTGTTCAATTTACAATTATATTAAAGTTATTGTCACGACCAAACACACTATAATCCATAAGGCTGGATTGGTCGGGAAAAAACCTGCGATGGTCGTGAAACTTTGGTCGTGAAATTACGTGTTATTTGGCTATGTTCTGGCGGTAGCCCTGCACCTCATGTTCGAGGATACAAAGTGGACTTCTAGATTAATCTAGCAATTGAAATATCTTATAAACAAAAATTAACACCATGTCTACTTCATCGAATGACTACATACGGTCATGGACACACCAAAATTACAAAAAACACAATCTTTCCTTTATTAATCTTGTAATTCCTCCTTTCAACTCGAAACGACCGGCACTACAATCCTGACGTACACCCCGAACTAGTCTCTCAAACCAACTGACTCCATCAACGCCAGGCTTGCCACTGTCGTGCTCCAAAGTTGAAATTTTTCCCAAATGGTCGTGACGCCAAATCGAGGGACAGACTTATTTTGTCATGGTAGTCAGTTTGCAATGACAATAAAATTATAATATGCTCCTTTTTTGTAAGTTTAATAACCATTAATGACATAAAAATATGGCTTTATATATTTCGGCATGAATAATTAGTCTAAAACAGCGTGAAAGTTGGAAAATGTACCCTAGGGACACGTCATGGTCGTGAATTTTGAGACTTTAAAAATACGAAAAAAATACCTAAAACCTATTTAAAACCAAATAAATGTGTGTAACATGTTGCCCCCGTCCCAAAAAATATTAAAACACATAATAATAAACCACAAAACCAGTATCTACGAAGTAAAAGGCCAGGGACATGAAAACGTACGTTTTTAAATTTTCACTCAATAAGAAAACTACATTTGTGGAAACATTCTAGCAAACAAGCTGTTTAAACACTTTAGCAACAACCATTCATTGAATTACATCATCAATGCCTTAAGATAAAGACATATAGGGTAAAATAGTAAAATACAGCACTCACACACGTATATTGAACGTATTGGCAAAGTTTCAGCCGCCTAAAGGTCCAATTCCTATGTGGCAACTGATACGACTGTAGTCAGGGTAGTTTCAGAGACATCTTCTTCAAGTATTTGGGGGGCTTGGTGTTGAAAATGGATGGGTGGTGACGAACCAGTTCAATCAACTTTGAATCATCCATGAAGGTACACGCCTCAAACTCCGTATGTATAAACTAAAAATTTGCTCCAGCCGAGAAACTGAAGCGACTAGACACTGCTCATGGAGCAGTCGAGCCGTAATGACTCTAGCCGCGCGTCTGTAGTTGCTCCAGTCGCGCGGCTGTAGACGCTCCATAGGCATGGGTTGCATTTACTTTGCATAGAAGCAGTCAATTTTTACAGCCACGTGGCTACTTCGTATCAGTAGCAGCATAGGAATTGGACCTTTAATTAGGTTTTCATATGCAGGCTTTTTCAGGTAGATTTCACTGCCATATGATTTGCTCTGATGGCTGTTGAAAGTGGCTTTGAAACAATATTTTTTCAATGGGAAATATCTCTCATTTGGTCAGATCTGATTAACCTCTTGGTTGTACGATTATCAATTTCCTGTGTTCTGACTTCTTCATAACACCTCTTTCCTTTGGCTGAGCAACATTCCAAAATTTAGAAGTCTTGCTGACAAAAATTACCAACTATCTTACAAAGAAACAAGACTTTACAGGGAAACAACTTTTTGTTAATTGTCTGAAAAGCCAAGGACAGCAGATCTGTTGTTTCCTTTTGTCTTTTTTCTTGTCTTTCTTTATTTCTTTTTCTTTGTATCTTGTATGCATTTCTTTTCCTACATTCCTGACCATTCACCAAGCCACCTTGAACACCAGTGAACAAATAGGCTTATGTAAATCACATACTCCTCAACACACTGCACTTTGCATTTCTAATTGCAAGCACACCTTTTCTTGCATACAAAATGTGTTTTGTAATACTTGGTTCCTCTTATATAATTGATGCTATTATTTAGTGTTAATTCTTGTTTTCATAAATATGTCCCACTTTAAAAATCCACTCAATAAATTCTTGTTAAAAACAAGTTTTCCTTGTGTAAAATTAACTTGTATGTTTCTTGTAGGCCTATTGTATATTTTTAAAATCCTGATAAATTTATAGGGATATTCAATATTTTGATGCCTGAGAAATGAACAGGATACAGGAGTTTTAAAGAATTTGTAAAGAGATTCAATAATATACAGAACTTGAGTTTTTATAGAAAGATATCCTTTGGGGATCACGAGTCATGTTCAATTTATATCACCAGAAAAACCTTCAGCATAAAAGTATAATGTAGAGGCCTATCTAAAAACACAATGTATAAAAAGATTATTATTCATAGTCCGAGGAAGTTCAGAGACCTGCAACAAATTGATGTAGGGAAACATACTGAAATATCATTTAGATTATAATCCATAACAAAAAGGAAGTAAAGGATACTAGAAATATTTGATTTAACACTAATACCGAGACCCTACCCAGGCTGACGCTAACCGGTCTGTGAGACCCCATTTGAAAATAATGGGCCCCGCTTAGAAACACACAAACCGAAACCCTGGGCCTGTGAGACCCTGCTTTAAAATACACTAAGGCTGGGCTTCTGAGCCGGGTATGTTATGATCAGACAACATGTCAAGGTCACGGAACCCACGAAAAATGAACAAACAATATATGAACAGGTAAGGGAGGAAAATCGGGGAAGGTATTGGGGGAATGGAATCCCCCAAGTGAACAGTGTTACTAACATGTGTTTGTGAAAATTTCTGTGGGTCTGTCGTCAGACTTGGGTTTCGGAATAAGTGTTAAAAACCTCAAATATGATTGGATCTGCAGTGGCAGCCTTGCTTTAAAATGTGACTTGCCGAACCAGTCCACAACACTGGTAGAAAGTGGCAAATGTACAATTCCAGGTTTTGCTCTTTTATTGATCAGTCCATGCCATGCCATGCCATAGTTCAGTTTTTCCTGTTTCTAGTGGAGTGGTCGAGGCCAATTGCATGTACATTCACATTCACTCATGTACCCATGATCACTGACAAAATAATCTCAAACGTTTGACACGTTTGACTTTGCAGGACCTGTTCACAACCTTTAAACATTAGGGGTGATGGACTATTCTGGTGTTTGCTCTCTCATTCCTCATGTCCTGGTTCAGTTTAGCCTGTGTCTTGTGGCTGATTGCCTACACCAATGGTGACAAAAAAACCTAATTTCAAACGTTTTGAAATTTTGTGTCCTGTTCACAACCTTAGATATTTTTGGACTATTTCCAGTATTGCAGTATTTGCTCTCTTCTTCTTCATGTTATAGTTCAAGTTTGTCTCAGTTTGTAAGCTAAAAGCCTAATTCTCATGGTGACCTAGATAACATAACCTCAAACTTTTATTTTGCAGGACCTGTTCACAACCTTGGTGGACATCAAGTGGCGATGGACTATTCTGGTGTTTGCTCTCTCCTTCCTCATGTCCTGGTTCAGCTTTGCCTGTCTCTGGTGGCTGATAGCCTACACCCACGGTGACTTGGAGCCAGAAAATCTGAAACCTGATTCCGGCTGGACTCCGTGTGTGGATAACATCAATGGATTCACTTCTTGCTTCTTGTTCAGGTAAGATCTTTTATTTGAAAACTTTGTCAATGAAACAATCAATTACAGGCTACTGTGTGAATTAGCCTTAAAAATTCACTGTAAATGAAAAAAATATGAATATTAACTTTTCTTCATTAAATAAATCACAAGCGGTTAGAATATAAAATTAAGACAATCGATTTTTGTTACGCCACATTGAACTTTTTATCAATGCTGATAGTTGGGTAAGGATAAATGTTTCTTAAAGAGTTTGGAGAGAAATGTTCTTAAAGAGTAGGAGGATTTTAGGTGTAGGTAATAGAATTTGAGTGATAGCTGGATGACAAATTCAAAGACAGTTTTAAAGTTAATTGTTGATATCAAACTCAACTTCAACAAAAATATTATGTTAGTTACTCAGCTTACAGATAGAGTGTGAAACCAAGGCAGTAAGAGTTATCAGGGTTGCCACCTTTTGGTTAGGGAAAAATCGGGACAGAGCGCCTCCTTCCCCCGCATCAACATGAAACACGGGCACACGGAACTCGGGCACAAGGGGCAGAAATGGGAACTGTCTCAACAGAATTGGAACGGGTGAAAACTCTGGTTTGCACTTTATCTTCTTGTGTGGTACTTTACCAATTCACGGCCTTTCTTTGCTGAACTCATTCCACGTAGCCCTGAGGCCAATGTAGACTGACAAGTTCAAGGAGAAAAATGTCTGACAACCTCGATAAATAATCTTGTTCGGTAACCTAAGATGGAAGTGCAGTATACTATTGAGTATTCAACTAAAAGTCATAAATTGTAATTCATTTTTGTTTTGTTGGCCAGTCTCGAGACACAACACACCATCGGCTATGGAGGACGAGCAACAACAGAGGAATGTCCAGAGGCAGTGCTCACCATGTGTATGCAGAGTATATGGGGAATGATGATACAGGTAGGGCTGCCAACATAACCATGTTGAACAACTACTATTTTTATCCATTTAAGGTTAATTTGTTAATAATAATTGGAAGAAAAAATAACTTTAGCATTTTGGTGTGGTTTATCTATCTATACTATTATAAAATTAAGGTGGTGTCTGTCTGTTTGTCTGGGCAGCTGTCACAACTAAAATACTAAACTAATATAGCCAATATCAACCACAAAGATGGTCCATATATATAAGAACGTCATAAAAAGTCCTTGAAAGAGTCATTCACTTCCTTGAGTTCTACTCTGGCTTCACCCTGTGGATGTCCAAAATTTTGAAGTGAGGTATGCAAAAGTAAATAAGCTTATTGATCGGTCTCCAACGCAGAGTGAGATGCTTTGACATAGAACTGTCATTGCCCATTCACAATTTCAGACAGCTGATTCAAAGAAATTAACAATGGGTTCTGGGAACATGTACCGGTGCACCGGTGCAGATTGACCGGTGACTTACTCACCGGGGCAAGAGTCTTGGTATCCCAGAAAGGTTATAATTTACACATTCACCTACTATTTGCTTTATAACATTTAAATCAAACAAACAGACTTGCCCTCACGGAATAAATTATTTGAAAATTTTTATTTATTAGTTATTACGTAATATAACCCCCTCGGCCCTCATTGAACAAATTTTCACTCATTACGCAACATAACCTATAAAACTAATGAACATTATTCGGTGGACCCGCCATCTTGCCGTAGCTGCAAGCTGTTGTCAAAGAAACTGACCAATCAGAGGCCGCCGGTGTATTATGCACCGTACAATTTCTCCGGTGCATAAATCTTGCACCGGTGGAGGAAAAAGTGGAAATAGCTGTCTGCTAGGTTAACTCACCGGTCTCCCAGAACGACACATTTTTGCACCGGTGCGGCACCGGTGCACCGGTACATGTTCCCAGACGCACTCACTATTTTACACAACTATGTGGTAGGATTATTTAATCCAAAACTTTTTGAGATTTTTTTAAACCAATAATTACAGTAAGGACTTTGTTTTAAAACATTGAGTGAGTTTGATATGATTGAAAAGTTTTACTGAGTATGTGGCTTTTTATACTCAAATGTAATCTGAAGAAAACTCTGTTAGTTTATAGTATTTCAATTGTTTCTTGTATTGTGACTATGGATCTCTTGTATTGTCTTATGGATTTGTTCTTGTTGGCAAGTTCACGGTTTATTATTCACAGTTCAAGAAATCATTCTTTCCCGACTCATTGAGTCCCGATTATTCTTGTGTCTTCACTGGATCATTGATTTTCTCAGGCATTCATGGTGGGAATTATCTTTGCCAAGATGGCACGTCCCAAGCAGCGCACGCAGACACTGTTGTTCTCGCGCAATGCGGTCGTCTGTCAGCGTGACGGCCAGTTGTGTCTGATGTTCCGAGTGGGTGACATGCGTGAAAGGTCGCACTTGATAGCAGCAAGTGTCCGAGCGCAGATCATCCGACCCAGGGCGACCAAAGAGGGAGAATATTTGTCACCTTTCCTGTGTGAACTGGACGTGAGTTTTGGGTTTATACTAGACACATTTTAAACTCTGGAACTATAGGCATTTCCAAAAATCTGTAATGGCTTAAAAAACTGATGCATAGAAAGAAAATCTAATAGTTGTCAAAAAGTGTTTATTTTTGGTAAACTAAGCTAAATGTTAATTTACTAAGAGGTTTTGTCGCAAAGAAAGATTAAGCAAATACACAATCCAAATGTTTGCCTATTAATAACAAAAATATTGTTCTTAGTTGTAAAATCACAGTTTTTTTTTTACAGTTATACATTTAACTATCCAATCATTTGATTGAGATCACGGGTTAATCCTAGATTAGCAATCAAATCATAGGATTGGAATGGGACATCGTTGATGTCAAACTTTTACTTGTAAACGTCTCAAATCTGTATGAACATACTTACTTAATTGCTATAAAAATGAAAACACTTTGGGTAGAAGTAACAGTATAACCATAGTATTTTGATCAAACTGTCAAGTCTAGGGTTAAACAAACATCAAAGGCTAACCATATGCGTTTGGGGGGTATGTAATAACCCCCTGAATAGTGGGGGGAGGTTGTCTGGGGTTCCTTCCCCAGAAAATGTTTAAAATTTAGTTACAAAATAGTTCATTTTACGCATTTTGTACCTAAATTTGCTATATCAATTTTTTGTTTTTACTGAAAAATTAAAACATGTGGTAAGTGTGGGGTCTCATAGGAGGGAGGGGGTTGAGCTCCCCCCCCCCTAGCCCATATTGATGGACACCTATGCTTCTAACTTCTGGGTTGAACTACTGACAATAGTCAATAGTTGATGATGAACCAAGTTGTTTGGGCAGACTTTTGGAGAAAATCTAGCCCTCCATCTTTAAAACTACAAAAGACTCATCACAAATAGTACTTCTATTCCCTACTTAATAAGCATTCATCCTTCAACTATAGTTATTTGTGCAACTAGTGAGCAAAGTGAGCAATTGACTCACTCGAGAGAAATACTTACTCACGAGCCGTAGGCGAGTGAGGAATGGTTTCTCGAGTGAGGCAATTGCATTTTGCACTCGAGCTGCACATTATATTTTTCTTACAGTTACAGTACCATAAAACAAATAAATTGGTAAATAAACGTAACATATTTTTACACAGAAGTGAGCTTTTAATATGACATTTAATGATACAACAGTACAACAGCTGACCAGCTGATTTACAGCCAGTGCTGCCAACGTATTTCGCGCATACGACCTTGTCTGCATGTTACGCGCTCACTATTTCGTGCCTTCACGTTGCAAATCTGTAGTGAGTTAGACAAAGTAATTAGAGTGAGACAATGTTAACATTGTCTCACTGATGAGCAAATTGGCCACTTTGCTTTCTCAAATCAGTGAGAGAACATGTACATTGTTAGGTAACTGTAGGAAAAACAATTTATCTTGAAATTTATGCATATAGTATCATCTTAGTATTTGTTAAACTTTAAATTTATGTTCAGCATATTATTCTTCTAGGTCCAAGTGGATGACTACAATTCCAACATCTTCCTCATATGGCCGAAGGTTGTTGTCCACAAGATAGATGCCTCAAGTCCTCTTTATCATCTGAGTGCAGCCGACATCATACATGACAGGTGTGCCAACTTTAATTGAGTTTACTATCAATATGTTATGAACAAAAATATTCCCAAATCTCAAGCCTAATGTGTTACCTACTGTTTAAGAAGTAGGAAACCAATTTTTGTACAGTTAAACACACACAAAAACCCCAACAACTACAGTGTAACAGTTGTACACTGACTCATAAGATCAAAATAAAGATGGAAAAGACAATTAGTATTAAGAAACGCTGTGGACAAGCCTTTTTAAAAGGCTTATGTAGTTTTGTATTGTAAATTCATTGTATATGTGGTGTACCAAGTAATAAATAAAAATAAATAAATAAAAATATAGTGGTGATAGATACAACCACAGAAAATAGACCATACCATACAACTAAGTACAATGAGCTTTCTTTTTAAGATAGACTGAACTGAAATATTACTAGCTAGATACCTCTTCTTTAATCCCAATAGACTCAATATCTTCTAAAAATTTGTCTTACCATGGTTTGTGACCTTTTTTAAAGCCGATTACTAGATCACGTAAGGTTTGTTTTTGCTGCATTCAAAAACTCTGGATGTCTCAACCTTGAATTAACCTGGTTTGTTCTGATAACAACAAAGTATCTGTGTATATCATGTAAAGTTAAGTTATAAAGGACTTCAAACATTCTGGATTGCGTTTCTTATCATTTTAACCCTTTTTGCTCGTTTATCTGTTCATACGGGCCATACTTGACGTGATCATGTTTCCCCTTCAGCTGAATTAAGGATATCCATGCAAATAATGTTAGTGTAAACAAACAAGCATAACAAATTACCATCCACAATTGTCACAATATTCCAAATAGTTTTTTCCACCTTCCAAAACATAATTTACTTCCAGGTTCGAGATCGTTGTGATCCTGGAAGGCACGACGGAGTCCACAGGGCAGACGACGCAAGCTCGATCCTCTTACCTTCCTCACGAAATCCTCTGGGGCCACCGGTTTGAGCCGATTGTCTCTTACAGCAAGGAGAAACTCAGCTACATCGTTGACTACAGCTTGTTCCATAACACGTACCAGGTAGACACTCCGCTGTGCAGTGCGCAGGAACTGCAAACGTTCATGGAACAGACTGCTGCAGTGCTGGAGGATTACGCTTGACACTACGTGACCCAGGCACTCCGTGACTACGTGACTCGGAGATCACTCATTGACTTTGTATCCCGTGAGACATTGTGACTACCTGATCCAAGGGTGTATCTACGTGACCTCAAGGTTGGTGTGACATATCCTGAAGGTCTCTGTGACTACGATTCCAGAGGGTCACATTTGATATAGTTAAAATGTGACCTGAAAAAAACTAACTTCACTCACTCAGGAGGTGTATTGGTTACCTATTGGACAATTTTTTTTTCTAAAATGAATTGACAAAATGGTTGGCTAATTAAGGCAACACGGTTATTGTAATGGGGAGGGAGTGTGTCTTAGAAATTTTATAAGTAGCAAAAAACAGCAACTATAACATAAAAAAACTCGTTAACAGTAATTAGTAAACAATGTACCATATAATCATACCAAGCAAACATGGGTGAGTTTTAAAATATGCACCTTACTAGAATGGTTTTAAAAAGTTGTGTCGATCAACGCCATTAATAGCATTTTTTTTACGTTTTAAAGGGACCGGTCCAAACCCTGGTCTTGCTACTATCTAATGTCGAGCTTTTGATAGATTGCTAGCTGCAAATGGCATCTGAGTCCAGTAAAGATCTCGCTTGGAATCAAACTAGCAACCTTCAGATTTGAAGGCAAGCGCTATAACCATTCGGCTACCCAGGCAGGTTCGCCTGTTATAATTACTCATAGTATTGGAATTAAGAAGTGGAATATGTCTGTACTAATTGAGTTAATCAAATTTTAATTGTGACCATAAAAGTTTGAACCAATAAGAAAAAAAAACTTTAAAATTAGGAAGCATCTTTCAAAGTAGTAACTCTTTATGCTTTGATCTACATTTAGGGTCCAATAATTTTATTCACAAAAATACAATAAAGGTCTGGATAACGTAAACTCATAGAATTAAATATCTTAGGTTTTCAATACACCTCCTACAATTTTATGATATAAGAACATTGTCTAGACTGCTGCCACTAAAATAGTCGTCACTTTGAGAAAAGTTAATCAGGGTATCAAGTGTGATTTTTACATTATATTCAGGAATGAGGTTGAAATATTTTCATTATATGTATTTAAAATTTAAATACATCTTTTATAGGTACTGGTACTTCATTTTATGGTTTTCAATTAAAATTGAACAAAGTAGGCTACGTTTTACATGCGGTACCTTGACATTAATTAGAAAATACAACCTCAGAAATAGAAATGAGGTCAACAATTTTTTTTTTTTAAGAGGTTGCCAACCTCTTTTATCTTACATTTGCCCGTCCACATGGGGCACTGCACAGTGGCAGATCCTGAAGGGGGCAACCGCCCCCCTCGGGCATACATTTATATATTTTTCTGCATGTAATACAGTAGTGCATACACATTGCGTAAAATAATTTGTCACACTAACTTTGTACAAAGAAATGGTATAAAACTGACATTTTGGAGTCTTAGTTTACACAGATTTTTCAGGGAGGTATCCCCAAAACCACCCAGTTTGCCCCACCCCTTGTGACTGTTCTAGATCCGCCACTGGCACTGCATGCCTAAGCGTGGAATGTATCCAACAAAGCAAGGGGTGAGCCAGTACAGTACAAAGGTGAACTATACTGATAAAAGTAGTGTCAGGTACCAGGTTCCAAACCGAAATCACTGCCTTGGGCCTTAAGTTAGCTGATTATTTTTATGGTATTAATGAGCAAAAGTAGCAAATATTTTGTAGAAACATTTTACGCGGAAATTCACAAATGATACAAACACTAATTTAAGTCTTCATAACGCACAGATCCATTTAACGGGAAATGGTTGTCTTTGATGTCCCATAAATAGGCAATTCTGTTTATTTCTAAGACAACTACTGTACAAATTACAAAAAAATTAAAAATCAAATATCTTATCGGGATAATAATGCAAAACTCACACTTTTCACCCCATTTTATTCTTAGCAAAAATGTAAAAGAAACTGAATGTGTATAAGTTTAATATGTTTTATTTTTGAGAGATTTCTAGAAATGTGTAAATTATTTAGAGATTTTTGTATATTTAATACTTTATACCTGTTGTATACCTTGTCGAATTTATTTTTATTCACATTGTGTACAAATCTTTTTGGATATGCTAGCAACATTGAACTATTTTTATTTAGTGTAGCACAAATCACTTTTTAATATATTTTTCCTGGTATATTTAATAAGGTTACATTCTGTAAGAAAATTAAATACAGAATGTATTTACTATTTATTGTAAAAAAATGTATCACTTATCGTTGAACAAATTCAGAAATGACTGAATTATAAATTTAAGTATGAGTTATTGTTATTTTAGCAATGTTAATAGTTACATACTAATGTTGATTGTTATGTATAAACAAATAAATGTAAGTTCAAATTTATTTTGTAGTAATTATATGTTATGCTTTTAAAGCGATAACTCGCCATTTATCTCTTAACAACATTCACAGGTAATTCAAAAACGTTTATTTATTTAAAATACACTGCCAATAATAAAATACTCTTATACTTTACAGATTTAAATTGAATTTAAAAATTAAAATTTATAATTTTACTTGTGAAGTATGTTGTAAAAAATAGAAAATCAACTAAAAAATTGCAGCCATTTCGTTAAGTGCCATAAATGTGTGCCTTATAAGTTTATATATTGTTTTTAAAGTTAGCTACATTAATAATTAAACTGAACTAAACAACCTTCCAATCTCTCTGAATCAAAATGTTCTTCCATCAAACTTGAATTGAACTCAAACCAAATTGTTATTTTTTTACCTTCTATTTAGTCTAATCGTCCAAATACCTGATGAGAATTTGTTCATTGTTCCTCTATGTAATTTATCTGTGCCAATGTAAAATATTTGTATCGATTGTTCTTCCTCAAACTTATTTGTACCTAATTCAATAATGTTAAAAATTTGCATGTAATGCATTGCCCAAAATACTTTCTTTAAGTAGATAACGAGCTTTAGACTAGGCTTAAAATAGGTTTTGAACCTCCATTAGACTAGGATTGTATATAATTGTACAGTTATAATAAGACGTAGTGTCAATTTGTGATTTGAACAACCAAAACAGGGGTTATGTTTAGTAGGGACAGAGTGACAGAGTCAAATAGTAGGGAAGGTGAGATTTTTACAATTTCCCTTGGTATGGTTTTACATTCCCAGAGGGGAAGACAAGAGAGAAAATGCTATAATTTTGTATAGCAATGTAGAGCGTGCTGTATCGAAAACCGATAAAAAAACACTATATGGGGGATGGGGGTGAAAGGAACTAATAGAAATTCCTTGCTTTTACAAATTAAAAAATTAAAATTATTGTCAAAAGTATTATAAATTAAAGATAAATGATCTTTACCATACAATCCAAGATAAATTACATAATAATAAGCAACAAAACTTACTTTCATCATGAGTTATTTCATTTTTATTTTCATACTAGTAATAAAAAGGTTTTACTGGTCCACAAGTGTAATGAACAGTTATTTTGAGTTAAATTTCAGTCCTCTTACTCTATTCATGACAGAGTAACCAAACATTATGAGGTGAATTAATTAGCTCTTAAAGTTTAAAATCTCACCTTCTTTCTGACTCTATTTAGTCCTATTGACTCGCTTTGCACAAAAGACATTAAAATGTCAAGTTGTTACCGGTTATTTGAGCTTTGTACGTTTGTTTTACGCTTGTTACGGATTGAATCCGAATTTTCAAATGTGTGAGACACATGTTGACTCTATTAAATTTTTATATGAAGTGAAAATTGTTTTTTTATTTTATCCTTTGAGTGTATAAGTTGGACAACTTAGATAAAACCTTCTGTATCCAATAGTCAATGATAAAACGCAGAAATTCCAAATCCTCTATTGATAATTTTTTAACTAACATTACTGATGTACAGATGTATGTATATGGTTTAATTACTTGTTTGTCAGACCATGATGGTCAGGTACTTGAGATGAATATTACCCTTGATCATAACAAAAAAAAATCCATAGTAAAAACTTGTAGAAATCTTGGCCAAGAAAACATCAATTTGTTTAAATCAAAACTGAAAGATGAGAATTGGATGGAAATTTACATGTCTCCTATTGAATATAAGTACTCTAAGTTCCATCAGAAATTTTTTTATTATTTTAATGAGTGTTTTCCACAAATTACTGTTAGAACAGGCTCCAAAAAGAATTGCTGGATGAATACTAGGTTAAGAGAAGAGAGGGAAACTATTGTTAGGCTAAGTAAGTGTGCAAGAAATCAAGACAAAGAGTGCAAAGAGCTTAAAATTCGTCAAAGAAAATTTAAATTTGATCTTTTCAAAACAAAAAAAGAATATTATAACAAAAAAATTAAACATTCATCAAACATTTCAAAAACAACATGGTCAATTATTAACAAGGAAGTCTTTAACGGCAAAAAACAAAAAGAACAGGAAAATATGTCATTAAATGTTAACAATAAGATAGTTAACAATCCAAAAGAAATAACAAATAATTTTAACTCATTTTTTACAAAATCCTCTACGTTACATACAAAATTTTGTAATACTACATCAGACACCTCTTCAAAAAATATATGGCATACAAAATTGTATTTCGAACCAGTAACTGATACCGAAATAATAACTATTATACAATCTTTAAAAAATAAAACAACATCTGGCTATGACAATTTATCAGTAAAAATGTTAAAAGAGGTGAAAGATGAGATTAAATTAATTTTAATGCACCTAATTAACTCATCATTTGTAACAGGAATTTTTCCAAATGAGCTTAAAATTGCTAGAGTGGTACCTGTTTATAAGAAAAACTCTAAGAAAGATATTTCAAACTACAGGCCAGTGTCAATTCTCCCGGCAATATCAAAGGTATATGAGAAGGCAGTGTACAACAGGTTGAACAGTTTCTTGAACCAATATGATCTAATTGATAATGAACAACATGGTTTCCGTGCTGGTAGATCGACAGTTACATCAGCGGTTAATTTTGTTGAAGCCGTGATAAATTCACTAGATAAGGGTTTAAATTCAGCTGGCATCTTCATGGACATGTCCCAGGCATTTGATAATGTAGACCACCATCAATTAATAGCTAAGCTTGATAATTTGGGAATTAAAGGAGTCACTCTCAAATGGTTTAAATCATACTTAGAGGAACGTTACCAATTTGTGGAAATATCAACTTTGTCAAAAAATAACATCATCCAAAAAACAAGATCTAATTTATCAAAGATATCATCTGGTGTCCCACAGGGATCGATTCTTGGTCCTCTTTTATTCATATGTTACCTTAAAAATCTTCCAAATTCTCTAAAAGACCCAGGTAGTAAGATAAGTATATATGCAGATGATATTAATCTTAACACCACTGGGAAATCCCTAACTGATTTAGAAATGTCTGCTAAATCAGAATTAAAAAGTCTGAATCAGTTTTTAAAAGACCATAATTTAGTACTTAATGCTAGTAAAACTAATTTCATTCTTTTCAAAACAAAAAGAGACAAAAATGATCAAAGTATTAAGTTAGATATAGATACAAATTCCATTGCTCAAGTTAAAACCTCAAAACTATTGGGTTTGATAATAGATGAGGATTTAAGCTGGAATAAACATGTCGAGTATTTAATAAAAAAACTAAATTCTGGTATATTCGTCCTAAGAACAATGTCATATCTCTGTGAAGGATCAGTACTTAAAATGATATATCATGCTCATATTGAATCACATATTAACTATGGAATTAGTATTTATGGTGGGACAAAGAAAAAGAATTTAAAAAAGATTTTGAAAATACAAAAAAAAGCTATCAGGATAATACATAAATTAAAATACAACCAGTCCGTCAAATCTTATTTTAAAGGGATGGGCATTTTTACAGTTCACGCCTTATATATTTTTGAAACAATTAAATATTTTTTAAATATTGCTGAGACTCAAGAATTGCCTGTGCATAATTATAATACAAGGGGTAAAAATTATTTAGCTAAAGAAAAACCAAGACTTGAACTTTTTAAAAATAAACCTTCTTATATTGGAAACTATTTTTTTAGAAAACTTCCTAGCTTTTTAAAAAAAGAAAAAGAAAAATCTAAATTTATGAAAAATCTGAAGGCATTCTTACTTGACCTTGCACCTTACAAAATAGAAGATTTTAGTAATTTCAATTTAAAATAATGTAGCCTATAGTATTTTGTTTAAATGTTTCTTATTGCTAATTTAGGTAGTAAGTAACAATAGACAATAGACACTATTCATGTACGAAAATTTGTACTGTGTGAATAAAGACTCTTTGAATCTTGAATCTTGAATCTTGAAACGTAAGACAGAGAAAACTTGCTTATAGGATGACCGTCAACCAAGTCAACACTAAATAAATAGGCCGTAATGCTCCTCTGGCCTGACCTCATCATAGGCGACCGCATAATGACGTAATATTTTTGGAAATAATAGACAAATAGATAACAAGTATCTGATTAGCTGTGCAATTCATAAAGAATCCACCCATGCTGTCAACTTCTACCTACCCAAGGTGGCTAGTTTATGTGAGTGGTGCTCTTCCCAAACTCTACTACAGACAGTTAACTACTCTTAAGTTCCACACCAGAGCTGACAGAAATAGAATTTAAACACTAAACCTACAGTGCAGTATACGAATGACTTAGACTACTAACTTGGTCACTGATCAGACATGTAATCAGACCTGGAGGTGTCCGTAAATTAAAGTCTCCATTGAGCTACCCTCAAACCCAAGCAAACCAGTTCAAATCTAAGTTTGACCAACTTCGCGTTCTTTATTTTAAAATTTTCATTTAGCAATAATTGAACTTCATCAACCTTTGTTCTAGCTATTTCTCACCCCTTTGGTTAATTAGTTTCGAGTGTTTGGTTCGTAGTATTCCGAAATTGTGTACAAGAAAATTTACCCTCCTGCAAGTGTAAATACTTTCTGTTATCAACTTTTGTGGTCTTAGTCATCGACCACTATTGAAGTCCCTCGCCAATTGACAGATGTGAATGGAGTCAAGTGTTTGGAGGGAGTTCAGAGGTGGTTTTGCACAATGTTTTCTATGGTGTATGCTGACTGCTGTTGTTCATCAGTCTCGTTTAAAGTTTGTGACCAAAGTTGGGGGAATTTCGCATGCAGACAGCGATGTGACTGAACGAAAGAGATCATCTACTTAAAAGGGGGGTTTGAATTACAAGACAATCAAGGGCTACTGACAGCCTTGAAAGTCTGTAGAACGCTGATCAGCTAGCAAAGTTTCCTCAAATTCTAGCATAGTCTTAATGAAAACTGATGAACACTCACTGCCTGCCTCATTGTGCAAATTGTACGGGCTTCTATGAACTCCTATAGCTAGAATAGTAGTGGATGAAGTATGATACACGACATTATGGTCTTGGTTGATTTGATCTTGGTTGCTTGGCTGCGACGGGCTTAATGAAGATGACCTTAATATACGGACAACGCGAACAGCCGAACAACCTTTGTATTTGCATTTAAATAAACGGTTATCATAAATCTGACACATACTTTCTCCCATTAGCTTGTATATCAGATATTTTATATGTATATCAGATTTAAAAAAATAAAAGTTATATTTTCTTGAAGGAGTTTGGCCCTGGAGCGACTGCTCCACTCGCTCCACGGTCGCTATGCGACCAATTGAAGATTGATTTGTGTTGATTTGTATTGAAGTGAACTTTATGCTGAACAAAACTATACCCATCCCATTTTTGTAAGTTTTATAGTTTTCTTTGAATATCAATTTTTTTAACGTTAAAAAACCAATAAAACCCACTTTTAGGGCATACATTTTTTTCTTGAATGAAAATTTTTATTGTAGTTTTAGGTCTGTATTAAAAAATACCAGTACAAAAAAATACCAGTACAGTATTAAAATAGGCCAGTTACAAAATAAATTTTTTTTAAATTAAAATTTTAGCGATTTCAGTAGCAACTCCCCTTGGAAAAATAATATAAGTTACAATAAGTTTTGAACTGTAATTTTTGCGGAAATTGGATTTGTACCATTTTGTTCAGAACTATAGGGATAAAGTAAAAATGGGAAATGTTTAAAGGTTTGTAAGCAAAATACCTCATATTATTTTAAGTTCAGGCATGGATGTCACATGCAAACTAGAATGCCGAGGTTTAGTAAAAAAAAATATTTGTAATTACAGAAAAGGCCGCAATGGAAAACCATTTATTTGTTGTCTTGGACGTTTCTTTTGTCTTTCTAAATTATCAAGTTTCTTCTCAATTTCGTTGTTATCTATCGCTTTCTCACCTTTTTTAGTTTGCATATTTTTTATTCCATAATTTGACTTCAGATTAGATCGGCTTTGTTTACTTTTAAATTTTTTACTCTGCTGCTGTTTTCCTTCTTCAACTCTTTTACCCTTGTTATCACCCTGAATTGTTTTCAAAACATCATGGGGAATAGATTCTCCAATTCTCTTTTGTACGTTGTTTCCATCTGGGATCCTTTTGAAATTCAGTCTAGTGTTACTTTTACCATTCAACTTATTCTGAAGGTCTTTCTTTTTCTTCTCTTCTTCAGAAGTCTTTGACTTCTTCTTTCTGCGCTTTTCTTTAGGATCCATATTTGAAGGCCATGTTTTCTGCAAGAATAGGACAAATTTATAAATGTATTTAAGAGACCAACTCAACTACTAACTTATGAGTATTTATAAATAATTAATTAATTGCAACTAAAACACTGCACTTACATAAACAATAATTAACACCTTACCTTTTCTTTCTTCTTTTTTGTTTTCCCCCCTCCATCCTCTGATGAATCTTTCTTCTTTTTCTTCTTCTTTTTCTTTTTTACGTCTTCGCTTGAAACTTCTGAAGATTCAGACTCCGAGTTGAACGTACCATATTTGTCCATTCTTTCTTCCTATAAAATAAATTGATGTGTTAAAAATTCATATTTTACAATAAATAAAATAACAAAGTTAAAAGAATTATGTTTTGTTTGGTCAAGTTCAATACAGAAAAGTAAAGAATAGTTATTTGTGTAAGTCCCCAACAGCACAATGGGCTTGCTGGGAACTTGTTCCAAGTCCATTGGCCCAAGTTCCCAAGCCTGGTTTAGACTCAGGGACCAAAGTCTGTAGGCTTGGTTTTGACTTGTTTTAGAGACCGAAGTTGGCAGTTGTTCAACTTGTTATGGGTTTGGCTCCCCAAGTCCAATCCAAGTCCCAACCCCAAACCTACAGTGAACTCATGGGCACAAACCCACTCTAAGCTTGGAATGATGGATACAAAATGGGTCTGGTGGATTAAGCAGGCTCATTATGGACTTGTTCGGGACTTGGAGACCCAAGCCCAATTTTAGTAGGCTCATATTGGACTTGGCTTAGACTCATATTGGAATTGGTTTTAGCACATTTTAGACTTGGGCAAACAAGCTCACACCTATAGACTCACTCAGAACTTGGTACACGAAGTTTTATATACTTCAATTACTGTCATGATCAGAGATAATAATAATTATTATAATAGGCTATAGTAATAGTAATATAATTTATACCTATTTAACATATAAGCTGTTTCACACCATTTATTTGCTAGCCCACATTTTTTCTTATAATTAATTTTTTACCAAGAAAGATTTATGATAAAATGAAGCCTATTTTATGAGTGATCTTGAAAAAATATTGGTTATATATGAGGTTTAGAAAGCAAGACATTAACATTTCAAGACAATTTATTAATATAATAAATACAATGCCCACTATCTTCTACTTCACCTTCAACTTCTTTTCTGAACCCATCAACTCCACCGCCTGCTTCAGAAGATCTATAAAAAATACAATTGCATTAGAATTATTTGGTTTATTAAAATTTATCATTTAAATCATTTTTCATTATTTTTATTTGTTATTATAATTATTTGATTATTTGGAATTTGTTGGTGTTGCAAACACAGGGTGTTAACTTACCTTTGTTTTTAAAATTGTTATCAAACTTTTATTTCTTACTATTTTACTTTTATACGTAAACTAATGGTTTGGCCTGTTTTTATCTGTAGACTAGGTTAAGGTATTGACTATAATGGTTAAGGTTAAACACAAATTTTGGCACTGTTCTGTTGAGTTCAGCAGTAGACTATTAGAGTACCTATAGTATAGTGAGTGACGTTGTCGATTCAGTGAAGCGCTGAGTATGTCAAAGGTTAAAGCACAAAAGGTTTAGGCTATAAACAAAATTCTACGGGTTCTTGATGCAATGAAATTAATTGTTTCCTTAACTTAGCTTACTTATATCATCATAGACTAACCAACACAAGTATATTTTTTATCAATGGAGTTCAAATCTTACCTTTACAGGAATCCCTTTGCTTCTTCTTTGCTTCGTCTTGGTATCAAAACCATAAACAAAACTCACAACTAGTAACGAAACGAGTAACTCACAACATTAGAACTAGATAAGTGAGAACTGACAACTGAGAGTGAGGAAGTCTAAATCCAACAAAAATGGTGGTTCAGCACAAAGAAACAGGTTTTAGGAGCGTTCTGGGTAGGGGTGGTGGGAAAATTCTTTTGTCATATGGCACTGCTCACTTTAGACTCACATGAACAAGCTTGTCGTGGGTCTGGTTAGGTGTTTAAATAGTGGACTTGGCCAACCAGGTTATATATGTAAATAAAACAAGTTTAGTTTTGGCGCATTCACACAAGTTCACTTAACCAAAGCTGTTTTAAATTTGTAGTGGGTTCCAAACTCCAAGTTTGTCATACCAATTCAGAAATATGTAAAAGCCAAGTTTAGTCCAAGCTCACGTGCTGTCTGGGGTAGTGTGCTAAATGGCAATACACTGCATTCCTAAGGAATATTTACTTGGCTCAAACAATACAGTCTCTCAAGTGAAACAATATTACTTTAAACACAAATTACATATACAAAATTCTGGTCACCTTTCAACTTGTTTATGCACAAAGAGAAAAAGAGTTCATACTTGCATTAATCCTCCCCTCGCTGGATATTAACTGAAGGTTAAATCTTAGTGATTTCTAACTTTGTTGGTAGGTAACTCTAGGATTATTTCTCAATTTGCTAGTAGGTAACACTAGAATAAGTAACTCCTCACCTCGCTAGTAGTGATTCGGTACTTGGGCACGTAAGTGTCGTTGACCTCTACAGTATACATAGGTCCAGAGGGATCATGGTACAGCTGCGGGGTTATGTTGTACACTTGGTTGGTGTTTACGTTCCTCAACCCTTTCCGTTCATAGTAATATTTGAACTTGAGATCCTCGGAGTTCTCTTTAAACTCTTCTGAGGGCAGTTGGTCAAAATACCCTTGAATCTGAAAAATATTTGTTATTATTACTACGAAGAGTTTGTCACCTTTGAACAGTTTGTTACCTTTCTTTGCTTCATTGCATTTGCAATCTCTGCAAACATCTGCAAAAGTGTAGCTAAAAAAGAGAGTAAATGTCATACTAAATGGAAAATGTTTTCAACAATAGTTAATGGATCGTGCATAATAACATTTCCAAAACTGGATATTATGAGTGTAAAGAACTAATTAAATGAGTGGGATGACAGATTTGTCATTGAATAAGTTGTTTCTTTATTTAGAACTATTTTACCACTCACTAAAAAACCTCCCCAAAGCTTTTAGAGGAGGGAGTCCTTCAATACAGGATCAGTTCTTTTTGCCCAAGAGAGCTATCATTTTTTGTTTTATATAGATGGGTGAACCTATAGAATAGCTTAAGATTAGTTCCAAACCACTGAGTAAGAGTATTATCAGCTACGCTATTGGTGATTAACTTGGTTCATCAGTTTCCCGTTTACAAATACTGCACTCTAACCGCAAGGCTAGATCAACGGCACCACTCAAAGCTACCCAAATAAAAAAAAAAAAATTAAAACACAATACAATTTTAACCAAATCTTACCTCGTCTGTCTTCCCTTTCCATTCCGCCAAAACCCTATCCCTCAACTCGGCGGTTGTATAGTTGCCATTCTCACCAGAATCGACGTCTTCATGGTCGATTTCCGATTCCTTCGTTCTACTGTCAACAAACCTTAAAACTGTCCAACATGTAACAATAATGAACAACACATTCATTACAATTTATAAAGAGGAATCATCACCAATGTCTTATCAGTAGAGAGATAAGTTTATCTCAAGTTTGATCTTGATCAGATTCGATTGTAGAAAGTGTTTCTGTTGGGATTTTCTTGGTTTTGTTGAAGAAAGTCAGATTATACTTTTACAACTGGTATGGCTGGGTAGCTGAGTTATTATAGTGCTGCTTAGTAATCTGGAGGTAGACGGTTTTGATCCTAAGAAAAGTCAGTGGCTTTTTTAATGTTGGAGAGTGAACTAAGCTGTTATTTAAGATTGGGTTTTTTATAAATATTCATTATTCTTGACAAAAGATATTGATCCTAGTCAGTAACAAAGCTACAATAGATATCCTACAACTACTCATCCCCCTTTAATGTTCTTTGTTATTTTGGTTCATATACCCCTTACTCGCCTCCTTGTCCTGCAATCAAGATAGAAAACAAATTATAGAAAATATTATGAAATACTGTATGGAATAAAGTTATGCAATGACTCATTGCTTTTAGGTACTGTATACAACTTTTGTATTAATTTGGCTATTTCTAAGTTTTGTTTTTGAATGACTCAACAGATTATTAATTTGATTACTTTAAATTTTACAACTAAAAATAGTATAGTAGCTTTCAAAATGCATAATCAATATTTAAAATAATATACTAACACCTCAAGTATTAGGTTTAAATAGCATCTAATCCTTTTTTAGGACCAAACCAAGCGCTTCTAAGATGTAATGTGCCATAAAGTAAAAGAAGGGAGATGAAAAAGGGAGGGACAGAGGGGTGTAAACTGTACAGTTCACTAGAAATTTTTAAACTAAAACTGCTTGTAAAACTGCCAAATCATTGCTGATTTTGGTATCGCCCAAGAAATTTCATAAACAATCTGAAATGATGATCATTATCAAGATTTAATCAATAGTAAGTGATTGTACAAGAAAAACATATTTGGCAGTTACGATGGATTAATAAAGGCATCAAGATGTCGTAAAAATGTACACTAACAAACTGTTTTTTTGTGTGGTGTTCATATGTGCATATGTACATTCACAGTCTAACAATATCACAAGTGAAGATAAACCAGAGGGTCAAAAAGGAGAATATGGTGACTATGATACCTACGTGAATGACTATTACGCAGACTATTACTCGATGAATTCAACGGACGGTCCACAAACTGTGGATCATCACAATGTCGCAACGGAAGTGGAATTGACGACACAATCAAGGACTGAGAGTGTTAATAGTACCTATTGAATAGGTAGTAAAAATGTGTTAACTTATTTGAAATCTTAGATGTAATTACAGTAATTGTTTGTGTTTGAACAGGAGCTTGAAATAGTTTTTCACATTTCCTTTATGTGGATAGCTGAATGGTTAAAAAGCTCACCTCAAAATCTAAAGGTTGTTGAAGCAGCTGATCTTGGTCAGTTATAAAGCTGCACAGATAACCTTACATTCTTCACTCATCCTTAATTCATATTCAGCTTAACATACACAACTACTTGTAGGTGGTATGTGTCTGTCTTAATGAACAAACTTCACATACCGGAAAAGGTTTTCTTAAAAGGTTGCAGGTTAGATCCAGAGGAAAGTCAGTAGCTTTTCGATCATTTTGACGGTTCGAAACTGAACCCAGCTGTTCCTGATCATTGTGCTTTAAATAAATGATCCTGGTTAATGAAACAGCTGAGTTAGTAACAAGGCTACACAGATCATCACACTCCAATCTACACTAATCCTTCGCTTTTTGAGTTAAAATATGCACATAGTAGCGTCTCTTAGATTAGATATTAGATTTAGAATTAGGTATTCTAGTAGCCAATGAACTTCAAAACAAAGTTGCCTCTGCTGAGCTTAACCCTCGTTTTTTTACAGTCTCTGATTGTGTTTGTTTTATATTTTATTTGATTTTACCATGCATTTTGATGACATCATCTTGCTATAGTACTAGAATAATCGTTAGAGTGAAGGAATTTTGTTCAAATCTTATCAATTACCGAAGGCTCTTAGCGGTAATGATAATGAAATTTAGCTCATGCATACAAAATTTACACGCTATATGCACAGTTGCTCTTCCACTAAGGTTAAAACGCAACAGTTTGTAGCTATGTGATAAAATTTAGTCAGAGTAGTTGCATTAATCATAAAGTAGTTCAACTGTCCTGTTCGTCTATATAACATGTTAATTTTGTTACAATATCTTCAGCAAAGGCCAATGGATGAAAAAATAATATTTAATGAGCTTATAAATGGATACTCTAATATGGGTAAATCAGAGGTAAATTTGAAAGGTAGGTAAGGCGATTCCACAGTAAACAATTTTGTTGTACTTCCTAGATTTTTTTACTAAAGTCCTATAACGTTGACATCTGAGAAGTGGGACTAAAAATGTGGAGTTAAACAAATGGTAAATACTGTAAGCCTTGTTTTAATCCACAATAATTGTGGATTAAATTAATTAATGTATAATATATTATTATACATTAATTAATTAAACATGTGTCAATTAAGATGGTTTGTTAGATACGGCTCTCAATTAGCCGTAGAGAGAGATTCACATCACTATAGACGCTAAGGGTACCAAATTAATCCAACAACAATTACTTGTCGATATCACTGTAGCTACAAAATAGCAAAAGACGATAAAGAGGGAAGGGTTCTTATGTGCATGGACCCGTTCACCACTCTAATTAAATTATCCTACTAATATTATAAATGAGAAAGTTTGGATGTATGGATGAATGGATGTATGTATGTTTGTGACAAGTAAACACGAAAAATACTGGTCGGATTGGGCTGAAATTTGGCATGATGATAGCTCACATTCCCGATTAACATATAGGCATATTCGTATCTCAAAAGTCCTTTTGGGCTTTGCCCCAGTGGCTCTGCAGTTCCCCATGTTAACCTTATGAGTATTTATATTTAAAAGGAATTAAAGAATTTAGCCAGCTGTTTCAACTAAAAGAGTTGGTTCTATGATATACAAAAGCATTAAAAATCTATAAGATTTACCAACAGGGTCCAGCACTATTATTTTTTTCATTATTTATAAAAACAGCTAATTTGAACTAAGCAGCAACAAAAAACTGTTGCTAAAATTTAAGTTTGGTAACTGTCAAAGTAGGATTGTTTACAGTTATGTTTATGTTTTTAATTTCATGAATAATTTATGATATTTTGCGAATTTTTAATAATCTATCTTTCTCTATTGTGTAGGTGAAGTAGTAGAACATTATGGCTATGGTAGATGTGTAATACTATCGCATACCGTAAATTTGAGGAAGCAAATGTTCTCAAACCGTGTTTTCTCACATCGCAAATGCAAAGATCGGGTATAACTGCAATAAGCATTTTATACTTATTTGCCAACTCCGTACGAAGGACGGGTACTCTGCTAGTATATTATAAAAACACTTATTTTACCTTTTTGTAAAATTCAGCTTGTTAAACGCAGCTTAAGAGTTGACATGTTGGTTGCAAAATAAAATAGGCAAATTTAGACAGAGAGTTAAAAGAGCTGATAATGTTTAGCTTGTTGCCACTATAGCGTGGATCAGTTCAAAAAGCACTCTTCAGAAAACTGTTGATTGCCAATGAGATTTCTAAATAATTAGAAAAAATGTAGCCCTAATAATTATGTTCAATTTTGTACCGGTAATTATAGCTATTGTGAAAACCCAATCCCTGTAGAACCCTTCAAAGAAGACATTTAATTTAAAGAACGTAAAAAACCCCTGTCAATTGAGTCTTAAAAGTATTTTTGAAAAGATTTGCCAAAATTCAATAACCAACCACCATTTTCAATTCACTTGTAGTTTTATTCACAAAAATTAAAGTAACTAGGCCTAGATGGATAAGGCAGAGAAAGTCAAATATATTCCCAATTCTTTTAGTACTAGTTGGAAAAACACCAAAATTAGAGTGAAGTGTTACAAGTACCTTACAAATCCCAAATCAAACTGAACGTCTCTAATTCCTACTTTATCAACAAGATTCTTATCAGATGTGAGATCTCAAGATGCTAGTGCGGGTGTGTGCTAGTGTGTGTGTGGCTTTCATATTCTTAAATGTAGTCAGGACAGAATCAGAAGATAAATCTGACAAATCCTTCAGCGAATTTAAACCTAAAGATGTGGAAACAGGAGAATATCCTGACTATGACAAATACGAGGACATGCCTTCAGACCCGAGTGCAGAGCAGACTCTCTGGCAGAAAATGATGAGAGTAAGTTTGTAACAGTTTTGAATTTAGACACAAGAATACATCCTATTCTCAATTCTCATGCAAAATATTAGCCAGTTTTAGAATGAAAATTAACATTGAATTCAGCCATCAACAGAGTGTATTCACATTAATTACTGAATTTTGTCAATTACGCCAAATGTTTTACCAAGCAACTTATAGTAAACAGTAGTATTTGATATGTCAAATTATCTATTAAGTATCAAAAACTAAAGGAGACATCAGAATTTTTGGATTTTTCTACTGAGCTTTATCATTTTGGACACTAATTTAGGTACAGCTGGTGCATACATAATAGGATGTGTATTTTAACATAAATAAAATGTGGTGAAATAGATGTTCTATCCCAAAGTTGTAGCTTGATTAAAGAATAAAAAATTAAGTTGAGCCAAGGGCTCAATACGCTAACGTGTTTCTTATACAACGGTGCTAAATTAAAGGGTAACTTATTGTGAACTTAAATGTTCCCATCTCAGTAAAATTAAACAGTACTTTTTAGAGATGAATTCAACTATTTCCTTTGAGTAAAATTGGCTAAAGCTGGTAAATATAGATGTGATGTCTAATTCAGTGCCAAAAGTCATTATTGGTGATGTAATTTATAAATTTTATAGTGTTTTTCTCTGAGTACAACTAGAGCCCAGGCCAAGCCCCCCCCCCTCCCACACATGCATGTATTGTAGGTAAAAATAGCTTTCTCTGGGATAGAAAGTTCCCCTCACTAAAATTCAATAAATAAAATATTAACAACAAATTATACAATACTGTGATGATTTGAAATTAATATAGAAATATTATTTCGGTTGTCATTATAAAAACACAAATGTGTATTTGTCAAATGAATAAAGTATATATATTTCTGTATTCTTTTTATGATGTTTTCTTTTACAGAAATATTTTTGAGATGTTGATTCCTTTCCCCACAAAAACATCTGCAGAGGTATTAATTTAAGCCTGTGACGAAACACGAAATAGTTCAAAATTGAAACCAGATTTATTTTCTTTAGGATATAAATATTGAAAAATCCCTTAAATGACAAATCACTTAGGTTAATTATTGATTGGTAATAATTTGAGACCCTGCTATCTGCTTGATAGGGGGAAGCTAAGGATCCAAGGGTTGGAACTTTTGACATCACTTGGGCCCCAAACCGACAAGTTACAAAAATTACGACATCTTCTAAAGTGCAAAGTTCTAAACCACCATGGGCCCAGCATATTCCGAACCTGTAAAATGTAAGACAAAGCTTTTAACTTAGTAGGTATTTCACCAAACTATTATATTAAAATATACATTTTGATTACAAGTAAAAAAAAATTTAAAATGTACATAAGGAATTAAAGTCTACCATGTAAAACAAAGAAGATTGTATACTGATAAATTATAAGATTAGTAATGATCAGATACAATGAAACTAAGTGTTTAAGTATTACTCTCGTGGTGCTTAAGTAAACAATATGCAGTGTTGAAAATGTGACATATTGAATTGTATTCATTGTATTACTACTGTGATGTTTGTTAGAGTGGTTTTGGTAATCTTTACATTGGGATTGATAGGAATTACAAGGTCTCATTTTACTCAACGGACACTAGCGGAAAATTCAACTATGGTTTATGAAAAGATCGACGGATTTGCTGTTAATTCCGGGCAATACCCGGGGATGGATGAGGATTCCCGAACAATTGACGTTTCTACGTTTTACAAGATGCAAATAGGTTGAGTAGATTTTAACTGCCAAGTAAAAATCACCTCTTAAGTTATTTTTTGAAGTTTTAGTAAATGTAAAAAATGTACATAACTTTTATTTAAGACAACCAAGATTAATACATTTAGTTTGGATATCAAAAGTTGTGCCCCAGTATTATAAAAAATATTAATTTAATAGACTCAAGTCTAACATCATATTAAAGCACAAAAGTAATGAAGGGCACAGAATAAAATAAATACAAATAAAATCACAGATATTGTGTCCTAGAATTTTTGAAATTGACTAGACCAAAAACAACAAACAACTTTTTTCAATTTTTTCACAATTTTTTCATTGCTACAGAAAGTAGCTGTATATCTATTCAAGACAATGTAAATAAATGGTCATGTCATCACAGGGGCATAATCAAAGCAAGGGATAATAAGTCGATTTTCCCTTGGTCACAATTTTATTTTCCTTGTTACGAAGCAACTTTTAACTATCCAATCCAATCCAAACTCTAATGTTTATTTATAGTATATTACATTACTAGGGCTGAAAGTGGCATTTTCTAACGCACGCTTAAGTTTCACGTGCGGGGCGAAGCCGAGGGCGGGAATAATGGAGCAAGCGCCGGAAAATAGCTTTCGGTACGAGTTATGAACGATACTTTTCATCAGAACACAAAAATAAAAATACACAAATACAGAATAACACATCTAAGTAGTATTTATACTAGTTTTAGACTACTCTTTATCATTGAAAATACACTTCACAACGTACATATTATATGGTTTCATAATTGTAGATTTTTTAGATAAATATATTAATTACCGTAATACTTTGTCACTTACATTGACTTAACATTTTGTAATTTGTATCACCAGCTTCTAAGCTTTCTGTATTCCTCTTCTTATCTTTCCCATTATTTATCTGGTGGAAGGTGATTAGTTACCTCTGAAGCTGTTTTGATCAAATCATCAGTAATGTTAGACATACTTTGAGCAATTTCAAACATGCACTATGCTAAAAACACAGAAAAAAAAACAATAGTTACGTATTTCTGTATAGATTTAGATTGTGCAACAATAAAAACAGCTGATTTAAATCTTTAAAATAAACCTAACAATCACTATCACGCATAGTGGAAAAATGGAGAACTAATTGAGAGAGAGGGAAAGTAAATTTAGAGCGAGGGAAAATCAGCTGATCGTTTTTCCCTCGCTCTAAATTAGAGCTTGGGAAACAGCTACTTTCTTCCAAATCATCTGTTATCGTAAATAGATACTTTCGGTAAGGAGTGATGAAAAACTATTTTTGTACCTTCAATACTATTTTGGTCCAAATTCAAAGGAAGTAGACATAAATAGTTTTTGCATTGCCATGATAAGTATTGTTCATAACTAACTTTGTCAAAAGTGCTTTTCTGAGTGATATTTGCTCTTCTTACTTTCCCCATAATTCAAACTCGACCAACGTGCTCGTCTATGCCTTGTACTTCGATCTGTGTGTTTCTCAGCTCAGACCAGGCTCACACATAAACCTCGAGGGCCCCAATAAATGTCCCTTACCTTTTGGTAATTTCAATGAAATATACTATCCCTTCTTAAATGGGTGAAAGTTAAAACGATCCCCCATCACTTCCGCAAGTGTGATATATTTACTTAATGCAAATTGCTGGTGATTAAACTGAAAAATAGCAAGGTAAGATTAATTTTATTTAATGTTTAAATTAAGTATCTTTCAGGAACCGAAGACAAGAAGACCGACAAAACCGATGACTAAGACAAGGGCAAGAATGATGAAAAGAAGAGCTGTAAGTGAGATTGATTATTTGTATGTAAATTAAATAGAGAAGATTCCAAATATGTATCCTATAAAAAAAGGGTTATAGAAATGTTATAGTCTAGTGATTACAAATATAATTTTTTAGGATAATTTTTCGTATTAGGCCTAGTGATCTTAGTTCAGCAATGAAATAAAAAATGTTAAATGCTAAAAGTAAAACGATAAATAATAAGCTTATACAAATAACAAGGATTGTCAGTAAATTAAGTTCCCTCTAGAGCCCCGGGGTAGTCAAGTCGTTAAAGCGGTGGTGGTAGTTTAAAGCTGAGACCTTTGCCAAATTTTTTACTTCATCTGTTACAATTCTGGCCAGTTTCTTACACTATGAGGCATTTGATCTCGTCAAAGTAGCCCAAACCAAGGATTGAGTCCACCAAATATGAATCACGTTCAGTGAGTGATTCCTAAAAGTTGACCCCCTTGCCACAGAAATTTCATTACAGAACCTGACTTATACTTCACAGGAGTTTCGATTTTCTTTCACATTGTTTTAGGCTAATATGACAAGACTAACCGTCCCATAAGGGTGGGTACAAGCTACAATTATGAAGTAAAGAACAAGTGTTAGTCTCTGATTTAAACAAGTTCTCTTGGTCACAACTAACCCTCAAAGACCTTAATTTACAGACAGTCTTTGTAAAATCTTTAAGCCCCTAGATTCGTATTTTAACGAATAAGTTAGTTCCTACGGATAAGTTAACCCTTACTGTGCTACAGATATTTTGGGTGGCCTTGACCGTAACACTACATATACATTACAATAATTATGTTTTCCCAAAGGTCAAAGTTGGTTTTTTATAATAATATAACTATAACACCAATATAATAGCGAACCCAGCGCAGAATGAAGTTTCTCCTGGAGTCTGAGAGTTAACTATACACTCGGGAGTTAGTCCTTCTACAGTGCTGGCATCCTCATAGCAAAGACCAGTAAGTGTAGCGAGCCGCCATTTTGTACAATCAGAGGGCGGGGAACATTTTTATTGCAATTTTCCATCACGTGAAATGTTCCCTAATAGGTGCATTGGCAAAACTTGGAACTACCAAGACCAGCCAATGCTCTCTGTATTAAAAGGAGAGTATAGTCGTCCATAGCGTTTTGAGCAAAGGGAATTTCGGCGAGTATATTTGTCTAGACTGCAGTAAGGGTTTTTCAAACAAAAAAACACTTTAATCAGCCAAGCATTTCCTTACAACACAACCTTTCAGTATAAAGTTTATGACTTATTAACGTCTGAATTATACCTAGGCATACTTAAAAGCTCGGGCTGAGAGAGAGGCAGAGGAAGCTCGTCTTGAAGCTCTCTACGGAACAACAACCAATGAAGTTATCACACCATCCTCTGATGAAAGGAAGAATTTCGTCACTGAACGGCCATATGGAGGATGATGTATTTTGATTGACAACCATTGTAAACAATAGGCAACCCATCATTTTTATCCTCGCCCTTTTGTTTCCCAAGTAGCTTCTAAAGTGTTGAAAAGAAGAATTTTGTCAAAAGTGGAGAAAAGTGTAACAAACATGAATAACTCACTCTGCCTCTATAATAAACTGATCTATATAACTATCGGTTCCGTTCTCATTTTTATTCTAGAAATTTCCTAATCAAACTGTAGGTAGAATTAAAAGTTTTGGTAGACAAATTATTTTCCTCCTAGAAATTCAGAAAAATTAAAAAAAATTTCCTTCTTTTGAACAATATAAGAAAAATACTCATTATTTATTTTTCTAGGTGAAATCTTTTAACTGCTTGGTAGCAAAATCAGGCTGTTCGCCATCCAATCTTAATTCACAAATCGAAACAGATAAAAATCTCTTGAACGTTCAATTTAAAACAAAGTTGAAATTCAGTAAATTAAGTAAAGCTTTACACGATTAGGTTGACATTTAAAATATAAATGAGGTTAAATGGAGAACTAATTTCCAATATAAAGTTAAGCTGTTAGGAGTAACCTTGTTAACTTGGATTAATTATTTTTTAACATAGCTACTTTTTAAGAGTTTTAATATAAACTATTAATTTCCACTGATAAAGCCTACTCAATGTATAAAGATTGAAAAATGAAACAAATTGCCAACAGAAAAGGGAAGGAAAATCAACAGGTTCAAAGGAAACAAAATTTGAAATAGTCATAACTCGTTTATTCCATTAAAAATGACCTATACATAATATTGAGTCCAAACTTCTGTGATCGTATGCCTATATACAGCACTGTCAGGGACAACATATTTACAGAGAAGCCATCTTAATACTGCAAAACGTAGAGGAAGCAGTAACATTCAGAATAGACTTATGCGACGTCGCCGGATGAAACAACCTCGAAAACAACCGATTATGATAAAAAAGTTTTAAAACTCTAATACATTTCCTTCATACGCATCACAGTACGCGATCCAGTGTTAAATAAAAAATTCTACCTATTCCATTAAAAATATACAACAGTACTGAGCAATTTGGCAAATTAAATGCAAAAATATACAAATTCGAGTAGATTATAATTCTCAAAAATAAAACTATTACTAGTGTTAATTCACAAATTGGACTATTCCATAGCATTTCAAATGTTTCCAATGTTGATTAAAGCTAAAATTTTTGCATTTATAATTTTCCCATTATAAAATCAACAAATAATTCTATAAGACAATATTTATTTTTAAATTCATTAATTAATATAAAACCTGTAGTAAACGATCTATAAGATAAATAATTCAACACAATAGTATGTTTAAAGATTTACAGTGATAAAAACAATAAATATTACATCTGCAACTTTACCAACTGGACTCTTACGTTTGATCAAGACTAAGTCTTAGGCCTCAACAGATTACAAGGAGATATAGAATCAGAAATTAATAATTTATTGAAATAAATAAAATATCTGTAGCTTCAATTGTAGATCTTAATAGCCTTTTCTAGGTAATTGAATCTGGAGCGTTTAGGTGCTTTGTTGATGTGTTCCAAGCCGAGCCAGGGTTTGGACTGCGTCCCACCTGCAAACAGTGATTCCAGGGTTAACTATGAGTCCTATTGTAAACTTTGAAGCATGAATTGTGTCCTGTATAGTTTGAGTATAACAATATTGACTAAATGTTTCTCATTTTATGATAAATTTCACACTGAGGTCTCATCTGGTGAGTCGGTGGTTCAGTCAGTAGCGCCAAAGACTACAAATACAGTCAGCGATGTCATAAATTTGTGTCCTGATGATAAACTGATAACCACAAAATTTTAACAATAAGTTTAATTTTTGGATGTACCGACTCACTTCTTGCTTTACTGGATACAAACAGGCCCGATGTCTATGTGGACAGGCAAATTCAAGGTTAAGAGACCACTAAAGCATATACGTAAAAAATGTGTAAAAAAACAACGCTTTGGTTATGATGCCAAAGCAGTATTTTACCAGAGTACAGTAACAGAGGGCCAGAGTACAGTATTTTACAAGTACGTCATTGTATATGTTGAAAATATCTAAAACTTACAAAATGGTGCAAATCTCATTTCTGTAAAAATTATGGTTCAAAGGTTATTGTAAATTATGTTATTTTCCCATAAAACCCCATAAAATAACGGAAAAATCGGATTTTCTCAAAAATGGCCCGAACGATTTTGATAAAAATTTAGTACTTTAAATTCTGAACAAAATTGTACTAATCCTTTTTCCATATATTTACTCTCACCGCTTACACATGATAAAGATTGTTGACAAACTTATGGGAGAAAGTATGTGTCAGAATGCTGATACCGTTTATTATATTTATTTACATCATAAAACTTTGTGCAATAATTTAATATCTAGACCAAACAGCGTTGCAAGCGACATATTTTGATAAATAGAGACTTTTGAAGAACAATGATGCAAATTACATTCTTTACTGCGTGGAAAGTTTAGTTTTTAATGAACTGGTTGGCAGCGCTTACAAATGATTGAATGTGTGGTAAACGTGTTTATGTGTTTTCTGAAAACATCTACTTATGATCACTTGCAACATTGTTCGGCAGAGTTCTTCAATTACTTTTCAGATATGTGTCTACTGTCCGTAAATTTAAAAAAAGAAAACTTGCTCACTGACTAATAAGAAACAAATAGGCAGCCCAAAGGTGTTAAAAAGCATTGACAACTAAAGTGGTAAAACAATGAACTTAATGGGGGGTAACAGCTACTAGCAAGTTGTGTCATACCTTGGTTGTAGTGTGGCCTGAAGTCTTGTAGATTGATGCAGAAACTTTCGTGATCATCATTGATAAACTGTGGTCGTCCCAGCGACACGATAGCAAACTTGAACTGTCAAACAAACAAGGTTAGGTAATGTAACTGTTCAAAACACCAAGCGCAAAGCTTGGATTTAATGTACAAGAGGTATTGATTTATACAATACAACCTAGCTAATCCAACCACCGGTATACCATTATCGACAGGATCAGGAGCATGGCCAGAACGCAAAAAAGTCAGATTATTAGGGGAGCTAATTTATTTCCATTAACACTTTGCTAAGCACAACATTACCGTTATACAATATGTTTTGACACATCGCCAACCAAGTTAATACTAGTTAACTTATACCTAGTTAATACTAGTACCAAGTTAATATGACATATAAAAACTGTATAGATAGAACTGTGAAATAATACAAATTCCAAAATTTCATCTATTAATGACTAATTTACATTTTTGATCAAAATTTCTGGTAGGCCCTGGAACATGACACAGCAACAAAAACAAACATCACACATTATTGATTATTAGATTGAAAGAATTCAGTAATGATGGAATTTTGCTCAGAAAACAACATCTAATCTAGCTGTCGTGTTCCAATATTTTCGGACTAAAAAAATTTCCATTGGTGTGGAAGTGTAATCACATTGAGTATATCAACACACATAAATGCACTCACTTATTACTGTTGTACTAAGTTTATATTTAATTGATCCCTTTACCTAAAAAAAATATTCTTATGTGTAGTACAGCAAAGGCTCATTGATGCAAAAAAATAGTGACAAGCGACTGGCTAGTACAGACATGTCAGGTGCAAAGACCTCTAACCATTTAAACAATAGTCAACAAGTGTGTGGTCAGAAGCTCCGGAGTGGGATAATCTGATGTCAGCAGGACAAATATGGAACTATTAAATTGAATAACCTGAGCATAAAATATTTCATAAAAAATCTCCAATCAGGTTCTTTTTGTTTCTTTGATCCGTTGCAATGCAATACTAGTAAATATCACAAATGATATTCCTTAAGTACTAGGTAATGTTTAAAATTTATCAGCAATGCAATATTATTGACACTCACCTTTTCAAATTCCTTATCTTGAATCCCTAATTTTTTGGCAATTCTATCCTTGACTTCTGAAAAAGGTTCACCCTGGAAAAAATCAAACATTAACGGTGGCAACACAATTTTTATTTAATAGGGACAGAATACGTTTGCTAACTTAAAAAGCTGAACTGTGTGAACCTTGTAAGTAATTAACAAAATACAAAAGGACAATCTTAGCTTTGCAGCTCATATTGTCAATGCAATTTGTAGAAAACCATCCAAAACCACATTTATCATAGCAAAATGTATAAATAATAGTATGACATGCAGTTTGCTTATTCAAAACATATACAGGGTGAACAACTTACCTGTGCCAACATTGGTATCTCAGAAACTGTATATTTAGAGATAACAATAAATGGGAAACATCAAATAGTTTTTAATTACATAAAAACATATGAATAACAATTTTTCAAAAATGGCCGCCATTTTCCAATATGGCTGCCAACTTTTAAAATTTCTTATGGGACACCCTGTATTTTAGATGTTTTAGATTCTAGATGCAATTTTAAGACTTTTTCCTCTTGTCATTTTCTCTCTAAACCTACTCGTTTAGGAGCTACAGCGTGTTAAACTTTGAAAAAACTAATGACATTATGATTATAACCACACGGCAAGCTAATTTTTCAAAGTTAGCAAAAAGTCACCAATGGCTGACTAGTGACGTATGTAATGGCGTCGTAGCATAGCGCTCTTAGTAACAGGCAACTTACACGAATTGACTTTCACTTGATCTCGGTAGTTCCTTTCTGTTAGTTCTAGATATCATTGTAAAGTAATTGTAAAGTAAAAGCAAATGAATGAACAGCCTGATAAACAACTGAATGAGATGAGATTTTCGTATTGTATCATACGGCTTCGTCTTTGAGCTCACGGATAATTTAGGCTAGACAAAAGTAAAACTCGAGAAAGAATATAATAAGCACGAGATTAAATTTAGCGTTTGGTGTTCCTATACTTTGAATGATAATATTTATCATAACTGAACTCTTTTCGAATGTCTAATGTGTCTTTAGTGAATTAAACTAACTGCCTTGTTCACAATTGATTATAATGCGGTACTGTATGGTACGTGGTATATCGATTGTCATTATTGTATTTATTTGTTGATTCTGTTATTTTCCACGACGACGAATGATGATATGAATGTTTTAGTTTTGTGTCATAGACAATGACTTGTCGACCACTGTCACTGGGACTGACCAGATTGGAACGAGTGGTGTTGAAATTATTACGTCATGGGAAACTAATGATGATATAAGTAACCTTATGAACATTTTGACCTCAGTCTCAAACGTCATTGTATACAGTCCATCCAGAAATTTAATCGGATTTTAAAATTTAAATCGGATATTTAACGGATAGTGTTGGATATCAAATTTGGGTTAGGTTTGGTTACGGATATCCAAACCAAACCGAAACCAACCCGAAATTTCAGATATCCGCACACCTCTATTGGAAATACTAGAAAAAATAGAGTTGAGTGCTGATAAATTTTCATTACAAAAAGTTCAAAATATTAGCCTATATCAGAATATTTGTTAGGTTTAGTCATAGATACTACTAGAAACTTTAGAAATACATAAAAGAGTCTCCACTGTCTGGTTTTTTGTTTATTTGACCCTCCTTGCAGATGATTCGAGTACCAGGAAATGTGTGCTATGCCTATACACCATAGCATTGAGCGTGTTGAGACATCAATTGCTGCTCTGTTTTTATGGCAAATTGAAAGCACTTTCTGATTGTTTTACCACACTACATGCCACACAGTTCTTCAACATCTCAAACCTTCAAACCTGTCACGCCATAGTCATGGTGCAGAGACACTTGAAAGAGTATTGCTTTATCTTTTATACTTTACTACAGAACTGATTTTTTGACTTTAGATGGTTAGTTCTAATTTAAAGCCTTGGATAGGTTAAACAAGGAAGAAACGGTTATGGTCATTACCCAAACTCAATTTCAAATTGACTGACCTGTTTGACCTTGATCAGGAAGGGGATGCCGAAGGTGGAGAACACGTCCTTGTAGAAGTGAGCCACAGGGATGAGTGCCTCGTCTTCCCCTATCTCTACCTCCTCCTTGGGGATCTCCTCTATCCTAAGGGACACCACAAGGTTCATTGTCAGTCGTGTCAAATCTATGTTGTTTAAAGGATTATTGCGCACACTTGATGTTTTTGGACCTAGAATCTTATCCTGTTTTCAGGTGGCAAAAACTTTGTGGTGAAAGATTGTAGCCAAAGAACCTTTGACTATGGATAGAACTGGACGTTCAACGTCTATTCCCATTTACTTTGTAGTTGAATTGTGCTACCAATTCCCTGATCAAAATGATTGATTTTTAATGAAAACCAAACACAAGAGAAAAGCATATAGTAAACTATAGCATCTTAAATATCAGATCAATCATCACACAACTAAAAGCTAACAAAGAGAAAGGTAATTTTACACTGCAGTGCACTCTGTAGTGGATCATTCTACTGTGTTATTTTTAGTACAAAATTATGTGCGGCTGGTCCATATGAATATGTCTACTTAGTTATCCAAAAGTAAATGCTTGAATATAACAAGATCATGTACCTGTATGTGTACTAAGCTTCATGGTTTTACAAAGCGTCCTGTGGAACGGTCTGCTATAAAAATCTAGTCAAACTGACCAATAAAATCAATGGGAATCACATTAAATTAAATTTTTCATAGCCACTGACCACTTTTTCAATCACAAAGAAAGGAAGCTACCGTAAGTGTTTTTGATGAGAAGACACTCACTGTACACAGAAGTCTGCTTTTCCTATTAAAAAAATTTAACCTATTCTGGTCTAGAGCCTTTACAAAAGAAAATCTGACCAATACTCTCAGCTGCTAGAGTCTATCTAAGACTTGCTAAAGGTAAAACTGGTTGATGTTTGAAAATTAATTGCTGTGATATTCCTAAACAAAAAAATCATATGGTAATAATTTAACACTAACCGAACATAAATTGGATTCCAATTTCAAAAAAACACTTACCTATAAACTTTGGATGTATTTTGAGGTACTAGTAACGTTTCTAATAACATGTCTTCTTTGGGTCCCAGGCTGATTTTGTTTCCGTTTATTTCCACTAACCTAAAGCATGAAAATAATTCTTAAATGGATATAAAAATAACATAAGCCTAAGTGCCATTGCTTTCAACAGGTTTGCTAAAATTGCCCTAGGCAGCTTCATTAAAAATATCCAAGCTGCAAGAGAAATATTTGCTACACTCAACTTGCATTTGAATTTAACTAGTCAATGATTTTAAAATTTAAAAAATAGGGATGGTCAAGTCTCGAAATTTCGGGAAATTTTCGGGAAATTTTAAATCTTGTTACACGAGACAAGATTTCTTTTTGACCGAGATTTTTATCGAGACGAGAATAAAAAATAAAAAAAAAAATTAAAAACGCCTGCAGAAAGTCAATGCAATACCTGCAATACAGGAGCGTGTTGTAGTTGCGTTTCCTTTGCGAAGGCATTCATATTTAATTAATTCTTTAAATGTAAATACTACTTTAATTATTTTAATAATATTACTTTAATAACATTTGAGAAGTTTTGTTAAGTGTAAGCAGTGTGATCAATGTTTTATTACTATAAAAAGTCAAAACAAGTAACTATTTTTTATAAAAATTAATATTGCTTTTATTTTATGATTTATTTTATTTTAAGATAAGTTGAACTCTATCCAAACTGATATCACTATATTTCCTAATCGTAGGCATTTTTAATAAGTTAGACGTGAAAAATGTTATGCTGATGTTTTTTAATAAAAGATTGTAAATATTCTTGCCTATTATTATTATTTTTGTATTTAACCAGTCATCTAACAATGTTACAAAATCAGGTAAAAATTTTGAACGTGCATTTCCCGTTGTGTATGAGAAGGGAAATCCCGTCTCCATCTCGTCTCGAAATTTTAAGAGAAATAAAAAATCTCGTCTCGTCTCGAACTAAAAATCCAATCTCGTCCATCCCTAATTATTTAAGGGGAGACTGTACCTTTTCTGGTTCAATGCTTTTTAAATGGATATTTTCTACAAGTTCAAGTACATATAGCACAAAAACTACTAAACCTATCATACTGATTTTTTGCACACTTAATTATCACATCCATATCTTTATGTTAAACCACTTTTTAAAGAAATATGTCAATATAAAAGTTATTTTCAATCATTTAAAAAATACAAATTTTTATGCGATATTCTAAAAATAAAAATAAATTATTTTTTAAATGAAAATTTATAACCAATCAATATATGATTTGTTTAATGTACTCACCAAGTACCCAGACTAATGCATGCAAAATTTTAAGTCTCTATGTATTACAGATTTTGAACTATGTGTACCTAAAGATAAAAAAACTAACTTTCGGAAAACACACTTAAAAGCTTTGCAGCACACACTCAAAGCCATGAGAATAGTGTGGCCGAAACCTCGGTAGAGTTAGCTTTGTTTATTTATTGTTATCATAAGAAGCTTTTAAATATACTAAGTATTATATATTTTCTTAATCAGGAAGAAACGGAGATTAATTTTAGACGAAAAACAAAAATTTAATTTTTTAAGACAAAAAAAGTTCAGTCTCCCCTTAAAATATTAAAAAATTAGAAAATTTTTTTGGTTGGTTACAGAATCTAGGTACTCTTTCTTAGCCTAGACCATTTCACTTACCTAAGCTTGCCTGAGCCAGTCTCTGGAGACAGTTCGACCGTTTTCTTGGCTTCCTCGAGCAATTCCGCGACAGTGGCGTTCTTGTTCGGGTAGAGCGTCAATTCCTTCTCTTCCTTCATCTTGGGTCCAACCCAGAAACACTAGAATGCAAACATGGGGGATTTAAAAATTTAAAAGTAACAAAACCCTAAACCACAAGGTATATACTAGTTGATCAAACTACATTTCAGTGACTTGGGGAGAGGAGACAATGTTACTCATGACCTTTGGTAAAGATAAGACAAAACTTATCAAAAATGAACAATGAGCATGAGATGGTAGGGGATACAATATTTTGTGCCTTAAAGATTTAAGCTGGTTGCCTGCTCCCAAAATAAGTCCCTGTCACTGATTCTGTATTATGAATGTAATCTCTGTCACAGCAAGATGCAAAATAAAGACAGGTTGGAGAAACTATTTTAACTAGGCCCAGGCTTTTCTGTGACTTTTGGGACCTTAAAATGAAAATCTGTTACTTTTCAGTAACTTCAGTGATTTCTGTAACTGGTAGATACCCTGAACCAACTTGATTGTTTGATTATATCTATTGTTTGATAGTACCTATTGTTTGATTATTATCTATATAAATAAAATTAGAGTTTTGTCTGTACATTGCTCAGAATCATACATTTTTAGGTTATTTTTACGTTTTATACAATAAAGAACCCGAAACAAGTCTCATCTAAATTTCTGTCTGTCTGTCTGTCTGTCTGTCTGACACACTCAAGATGGCATTTTACGCAATCTTCTCCAGGAAAACGAGAGTACCTATCAAGACCCAAGTCATTTTAATGTATTCACTGGATTGGCGAGAGTGTCTTTAGCCATTAAAATATGGTCTCACTACTTTGTAATTAAAATTACGGCCGTTCAAAAATGCAGTTTTGTGCGATTTTTGTCAAGTTTTCTTCCAATTTGTATCACATAATCATCTATGAAACAACGAACAGCTGTTCGGATCAAGATTATTTTTTCTAGCTGTCACTGAAATGTTTACAAATGTTGTTTACAAATGTTGTTTACAAACACCACAACCATTTCCGATCACGTTTTGAAGGCAAATCCCATCCAAGTGAGATTAAAAACGTTTTTATTACATAAAGGATTTAATTAATCGCAAGTGGAATAATATAGTGTAACCGTAAATTAAATAACTAGGCATCATCCAGGTCAGGAACCAGAAATATGTGTATAAAATTGTTTTGGAGTTTTGATAACCAGAAAGAAGACATTGAATCAAGATTGAATCAGTGTTGTATACGGCTGGGAAACTTAAATTTACTAATGACCGTCGCCAATAGCTTAGAAACAATGTTCCACTCATTGACGGCTCTTCAATTGGCGGTTGTGTAAAGTGTAAAGCAAAAAATTACAACTGCATAAACGTCCAAAAACCCAACGTTGTGTGATTTCTGTCACATTTCCTTATAATGTTAATATATATACCAGCAAACATTGTTTAGAGAATACGTAATCTATTAAACAGCAGAAAGTTATGTTGTATAAGGTTTTTTTTTCAAACTGACACCGATAAGTTTACATTAAGAGTTGTGTACAAATAAAGCAATTAATGGGAAATAACTTTGATTGCCGATAACTTTTTACGAGAAAATCCAAAACCAAGAGATCAATAACCTTGATTAACGCATATAATTGGTCGGCTGTACTACAGTTCTTAACTGTAAACGTTGGTTTTTGGTACGGTACTGGTTCTTTTCCTTTTAACCTTTAGTAGCAGCAAGAATAATTTTTACGTACCAACACATCACAGTAATTTACAAATTAGTTATCGTTGGTGTTGCACCTTATTTATTACAGGCGTAGGCCTATTCAATTTAATTGATGTCTTAACTGTATAATTTTTGCTTTTTCTGTCTGGATTCCAAAATGTTATGCTAAGAAAACTATAACGCATTTTAGTAAAACATTTATTCAGCAAACCATCATGAATTGTTCAAACACTTTGAACGTTGTTTATGTATCAATAGTTCGTGGCCTATTTTGGTAATTTTTATTACAAATTACCAATCTAAATCGTCTATAGTAGGCCTACTGTACTTCATTTCATATAGCAAACCGATTCAGATAGCATTTCGACAGAATTTCGAGTCATCTCCGCTCAAAGCAAATATAAATTGTTATGATCAAATTTTATGGCATTAACAAAGATTTCAAGTACTAATTTTATATGTACCTTTTTATGCTTAAAGCGTAGCAGATTCCCTAATTAAGTTCGGTATTTTTGTGTGTATGTATGATGGTAACGCATTAATGTCCTTGTTTCTCAATGTTTCACGGAAAGGACAAGAGCGCCTTGATAATGAAAATGTCAACCCGAATAAAGTGTTAAATTAAGAGGTTGAGGTAGTACCTTAAATACTTTTAACCATTATGTTATAGTCCTTTAAATTCTGAACAAAATTGTACAAATCCCATTTCCGTATATTTTCTCTCACCGCTTACACATGATAAAGGTTGTTGACAAACTTATGGGAGAAAGTATGTGTCAGAATGCTGATACCGTTTATTTAGTTTAATCATTGGATATAACATATGGACCAACAAGATCCGGGTGACATTTAATTGCGAAGCATTAGTTTTGGCTTGAAACTGTCAGATACTGTATTTGCGAAGGAATAGTTTTGTCAGCATATCTGAAAGTATGCAAACCAACTGCTGTGCTTTATATAAGAAGGTTTTAACTGACTATGAAAAGATCCCCGTGCGTAGAACGGGCACACAGCTAGTTGAACAAATAAAACATATAAAACAAGCAGTTCGTAACTTTAAGCCAAGATGAAAAAATTATAATAAAACAGGCCTGCATATGACAGGAAAGTTTTGTTAATAATTAATAAATGAGACCAGCTAATTATTTGGCCAGGGTCAATTACTAAAAACCAAATAACCAAAGCTATCTGTTATCTCTTTAAGTCACACATATTATTATTTGCAACGTTTGATTATTTTAAATCCCGGACATTAAAGATGAGATAAGTTCCCACCTGGGACAATAACATAAATTAAAACTAACAATGACTGAAAACCACGTTTACAAAATGAAATTATCAATAAATCAGTGTATTATGGTAGCATATTATTAGTCAATATGCACAGTATAAAAACTACTACATCAGTAAAACTAATTTTAATTTACAAATTAAGTGAATTTTAGTGATGTTTCTCACACAATTTCAATTTAAAGTCCTTTCCCAAGTGAACCCAAATAACAATTACGAGAATACTAACCTTAAACGTCCTCTTGTTCTCAAACTCAAAGACAGGTATTGAAAGCTGTTGGTAGTAGATTTTCTTGACTCCTTTAGGCTTGGAGTACACAAGCAAATCCTTTAGTGTCCCTTCAAAGTTACACCTCAGGGCGTTGCCAGGGCCGTCCTTATACCTGAAAGTAACCAGAGAATCAAAACACTTTGTATCTATTGTTTATTTAATCAGGTTGTTCAGTGACATTTACCATAACAACAAGAAGACTCTACAACTAAAGGAACTGGTAGTTCAAAAAATCTATATTTCAAGTGTTTATTTGTACTATAAACTATTTTTAGGTAAGGTAAGCCTGATGTTCACCCTATCTGTTATATGCATATTTCATCTATTAGGACTACAGAAGGAAGAGTTCCTTGATCTGTTTTGAGGTTAATTAGATTTACCACTGAGATTTTACCAGTCCTCATTTTTTCAGTTACTTTTATTAAATCATTCAGTTTTTAGTACAAAAGTGTTTTATAAATTAAAGATACAGTGTTTCTTTATAAACCTATTAAATAAGTGTCAGTTTTTATTGAATTTTTCTATAGAAATATTCTCAATACTTTATTTATAACCTACAAGAAAATTTCACTATAAAAGTATTACCTGCATTTTCCACAAACGGTGTTATATATATCAAGAATACACAACCTGCATACAAACTAAGCACAACTGAAGTTAAATTTATAGTCAATGAAGATAATACATTAACTGGAATCAAGATAAGTAATCAACACAGCGAGACTAACCTGGCCTTGGCCTAGGACAGACTGGTAGGCAACTTTAAACTGTTATCTCTTATCAGTTGGTTTATTTACCAACTTAATTTTTGCGAATCCTCAGAGTCCTAGATGCTCTCAAATATTCTGTGGATACTTCTGATTACCAAATCAATTATGTACAATATCAATTAGGCCCACTTAACAAGGATAGTTTGGATAACCCCATAGTTGCAGAGAATACTTCTTGTTTTCTACAAGCATCTGTATACGTGGAAATTACAAAAATAAAATAATAAAGAATTGTGAACTATATATTATTTAAAATGAAGAATTATTTTTTAACTTATTTTAATTCATAATGGATTTGGGCTTCTCATTTCATTTTGTTTGTTGTCTGTTTTGCGGCTACATTCTATGTTACTAAAACAGTCTAGGAGATAATAGAATGAGTGATCTAAACATTGTTGAATCTGCAGCTTCGATTAGATTCGAGCTGAGTAAATTAATGAATCAATTTGGGGAAGAAAATCTTCAAAAACTCATTGAATTAAATGCCACTTTTTTTGATCATTGGAATGCTGATAAAGAGAAGAAATGTATGCTATTAAATAAGTGTGAGGAGTTAGAAGAACATATAGGGAATTTGGAAGCTAGAATCAGTAGTGTGGATTTAAAAAATAAGTCACTATTAAGCGAACTGGAAGAATTGGAGCAAAATGAAATGGATGACAGCTTTCAGAAGAGTAATAATAGTTTTGTTAATTACACTAGCAGTCCTTTTTGTACCAATACACCAATAAAACAATTTATAAGCCTAAATGATAGTGATAAACAATTAAAAAATGCACAGAAATCGCTAATTGATGCAAACGAAAAACTGTCTAAGGCATTAAGTGAGAATGAGAAGCTGAAACAATCATTAAACAAGGCCGTAAAACAGTCAAAGCTTTACCAGTTACAGTTATTAGATAGCAAACAATGGTTGGAAGATGAAACAATATCAACATATTATGATGTAATTGGAAAGGAAGTATGTAACAGTAATATCCTGCTGTTAAGTCCATGTGTAGTTCAGCTTCTAAAACTTGGAGATATGCTATCTGTCACACAAATCTTAACAAAAATGAAACTAGAAAAAACTAAGTATATTTTCTTGCCACTGAATGACAGCCTGACTACAGAAGATAGAAGTGGTACACACTGGTCACTGTTGGTGCTTGACAGAAATAAAATGTGTTGGTACCACCTCGACTCTTTTAAACAAAGTAACCATACAGCTGCAGCAATTCTAACAAATAAAATTAATCAACATCTTAGTCTGACGTGTGATCTTAGAGAAGTTGAATGTTCTCAACAAACCAATTCACATGATTGTGGAATTTACACACTGTTGCATACGACCATGCTAGCAGAAAGTATCACCAAGCACGGACACCTCACTGACAATTTTATTGAGCCCATAACACCAACTATGGTTGTTAACAAAAAGTTAGATATCATCAAACTGATGTCAGCATGCTGGAAAGAAAGCTGTGTGTCCCCATCTCAATCTGCTGTGTCACACCTGAATGTCAAATCGTCAATCTCAGCGTCCACCCAGACTGAAGCCATAAATCATCAAACTCAAGAAGTTAAATCAAGCCCAATTAAGAAATGCGGGATACAATCTGCTGATGTGATAGAATCAACTGACCAGGCGGAACAAAAAGTACATTTATTTGCAGACAGCCATGGAAGAGGGCTGTCTGATATCATTAACACATATTTGCCTTCCACTAAAAGAATTGTTTCCTGGGTTAAACCTAATGCAAGAATTAACGATATACTTGACTCAGCCGATCTAAAAAGTTTCACACCAAAAGATAAGATAGTGTTTATGTGTGGTACAAATAATGTTGAAATTCATAGTGTAGAACACATTTGCAATATGTTGAAGATGACCACCAAACTCTGTAATACAAGCATCTGGCTCTGTACACTACCATACCGACATGACATTCCGAGTAACAATGAACTTCACTACAAAATATTTTTGATAAATAACTACATATGGAGACTCTCTGAAGAAAGCAGCAACATTGATATCATCGACATGTACTTAATAGAAAGTAAATACTTCACTGAACATGGATTGCATCTATCAAACAAGGGGAAATCATTTTTGGGCAAAATGATTGCTAATGCAGTTGGTGGTCTAACACCTACCCCCTCACATGATGATTCCAGAACAGGACTATCATATTCCCCTCAAGCAAAATCTCAAACCCCCCAAAACTCTGATGAATCTGTCAGTCAGGCTATAACAAGCAAATCAAATAATGCCATGCTCTGTGGCGCTCTTCCTACTCATCTTTCTGGAACTAAACCCACAATACCTGTACCTATTCTGAATAGAAAAAAATCCAAGATAAGAGTTATTAATGCCAACATGAATAATTTCATCAACGATTTCAAAAACCATCAGGACACGGCATTTGCTCACTCTATCTCTGCGGACATCTCCAGTGATAGACAGATGAGCGCTGGAGTGGCTGTTGTTTTTAAAAATCACTTTGGCAAACCAAGTCCATCAGACCTTTTAACGGACCACCTAACTTGTCAAAGAGTAACTAATGGTGCTACAGTGTACGGTTTGGTGACCAAAGACATCTATTACAGCAAACCTACAGAAGATTCTTACAACATGGCTTTCAAAACACTGACAGATGATTTTAAAAAACAAAGCCTCAAGAGACTCATTTGCTCCCCCATGGGGTGTGTGAGAGATAACATTTCACTCGACATTTTTGCCAATAATATTGTCAATTTTCAACGCTTGACCGGAGCCTCTGTGAATGTAATAGCTTTTCACAAAAAATCATCACGACCTCTGTGGAGCGGACAGACTTTTCCACAGTTTCTTAAAGCTTTGTGTTCTGCTATCTCAACAGCTGAGCGGAAATCAGAAGAACAGAAGAGAGAGAACCTAGATCTAAACAACTGTGGAAATAAAATAACTAGGCCTACAGAATCTGCAAAAAGTTCTCCAGCAGGCAACAAAGAATCCCAGACATGTACCATCACAACACCTTCTACAAACTCTCCTGGATTTAAAGGTTGGGAAACTCCCAACTCAATAAAAAGCATCGAACTAAGCAGTTTTTTAAGCAAACTTTCTACTAGTCCCAGCAATATCAACAACACAACAGAATCAAATGACATTCCTAAGGACCTGGTAACAACAGACAATTCACCACCTGCATCTGCTCAACCACCCTTGAGACGCTCTAAAAGAACCGGCATCAACAAAACTTTAGGTGTAAAAAGTCTGCAAAATTGTAAAAATAATACTAAGTTAGCATGTAAGCAAAATAGTTTTTTAGACTGACTTCAGACACGTCAGGACAAAGAAATAGTGAAATTGTAATACTATCTTTAAATATTCAATCATTAAGGAACAAATTAAACCATCTTGAAATCATTCTTAACCAAACACTGTCAAATATAGTATGCTTAAGTGAGCACTGGCTTAGTAATGAAGAAATTAACTTTTATGTCCCAGAAAATTTTGAATTAGGTACAAATTATTGTCGTCAATTTCCACTGATTCATGGAGGTACTGCAATTTATGTCAAACGTTGTGTAAATTATGAAAAAATAGATTTGTCTGATTTTAGCTTTAACTTTTTACTTGAGGTATGTGCTGTTAGATTGTTAGATTATGACTTATTAGTTTTATCTATTTATCGTACCCCTGATTCAAGCTTTACAGAGTTCTGTAGAAAATTGGAAGATCTTCTATTGTTTGTTTCATCTAAACCTAAACTTTTCAAGTACATCGCCCTGGCTGGTGATTTCAATATAAACATCTTAAACCATAATGATAAAGAGGGAAAGTATTTTTTGAATTTACTTAGGTCATTTGATTTGTTCCCAACCAATGTCAAACCAACCAGACAAACTGCTTGTTTAGACAATATTTTCACTAATGTCAACAATCAAGCCTTGCTTCACTGTTTTATTACTGGGGAGGGAATAATATCGGATCATGCTGGAGTGGTTTCAAAATTCTTGATTGATAAAAATAAGAATAACAGTTGCTTAGTTAACAAAGAGGATTCTTACTATAGGAAACGCTTTGTATCATCAACAAGACTTGAAAATTTTGTCAATAGGTTAAGTAATATCGATTGGTCTACCTTGTATTCTATTAATGACATAAACTTAGCTTTTACATATTTTCTTAGGGTTTTAATTTCAGATTTTAATTTGTGCTGTCCTGTTGTAAATGTGAAAAGTAATATTAAGATGAATAACAGATGTAATAGTTGGTTTACTACAGAATTGGAGTCAATGCGTAAATATTTATTGTTATTGTATGACAAATGGAAATATAGCAATAATGTAAATGATAGGAACAATTTTAAAAGTTACAAAAGCATCTATACAAACAAGATAAGAGAAGCCAAAATCACTGCTAATGACAAACTAATTGCTCAATCCAAAAATACATGTAAAAAAGCTTGGGAAATAATCAGAAAAGAATCAGGACAGATTAAAACATTTTCCAAAACAACTTTAACACCTAACACTCTCAACAATTTCTTTACTTCTGTTTCAAACAACACACAAAATAAACTCTACAATGATGATAATGTAATTACTCATCTTGAATTGTTGAGTAACTGCCCTAAGCCATATTCTAATACTCCTGACATCCAGATATTTAAATGGACCCTTGTTGATAAACATTAAGTGCATTCTTTGGTCTGTAAACTCAGTGGTTCCCGTAGTGAAGATTTGTTTGGACTCTCCAATTTTACTCTTAAATACATAGTTAATGTTATCCTGGAACCTTTAACACATCTTATAAATTTTGCTTTAATTGAAGGAAAGTTTCCTGATTGTTTAAAAACCTCCAGAGTAACGCCAATTCACAAGAAAGGCGACAAGAATGTCCCATCAAACTATCGTCCAATAGCTTTGGTTCCAATTTTAGGAAAAATAATTGAATCATGTATGCTTGAGCAGCTTCAACACTTTTTTACTGTGAATAACCTTTTATATAAAGGTCAATACGGCTTTAGAGCCAACTGTTCAACCACAATGGCTGTAGAAGAATTAATTAACCAAGTTTTGCAAGGGTTTGAAGACAAGTTGGTGACAGGTACATGCCTTATTGATTTGACCAAGGCCTTCGACACAATCTCCCATCCCATTCTTCTTGATAAACTGTATTACTATGGGGTTAGGAACCGTGAACTAAACATCATTCAATCCTACCTGGAAAACCGTAAACAGCAGGTCGTGATAGGAGATGATTATTCTGATATTTTAGAATTGAATGCTGGTGTTCCGCAGGGGTCCATTTTAGGACCTTTCCTGTTTTTGATTTTTATTAACGACTTTAGTTTTAATATCCCTACTCAATCAATACTTTATGCTGATGATACTACCCTGTTCTGTAAAGATGATAATGTTTTAACAGTTGAGTACGATCTTAATCATGCCCTAAACTGTGCTAAATTCTGGTATAAAATCAATAATTTGGCTATCAATGAGGAAAAAACAGAATACATCTGCTTTTCTCTAAAAAAAGATCAACCCACTGATGCTTATAAAACAGTCAAACTCTTAGGCATCCATCTCGACAACAGACTAAGCTGGGATAACCACATTACACAACTTTGTAAAAGATTGGCTAGAATAACCTGTCTCTTGAGAAAACTTGGATCATGTGTGAGTTTTAACACTTTGGTAATGACTTACTACGGTTTGTTTCACTCACAGCTGCTTTATGGTTTGCGTCTCTGGGGTGGTTCACACTTAGCTCAGAAAGCATTTGTTTGGCAAAAGAAAGCTCTTAGAGCCATGCTAGGATTGCAAGATCATGAATCCTGTAGGGATCACTTTTCCAATTTAAATTTACTTACACTGCCATCTATGTACATTCTTTGTAATTTAATTCATATAAAAAACAACCCCTTAAAATTTTCTAGCTATTCTCATCCATACAACACGAGGCACAAAAACAACCTAGTCACACCTCAAATCAGACTTTCAAAAACTTTAAATAGCCATTTTTACAATCAACATATTTTCTTCAACAAGCTACCCACTTGTTTTCGTGAACTACCTTTAAACCAATTTAAAAGAAAAATTACTGAGTTTTTTAAATCAAGAGCATTCTACACGCAGGAAGAATTTTTAAATAGTGACATGTCATGTTTAGTTTAGATTCTAAATAGGATATTGTATATATTTAAATTTATAATTGATGTATGATCTATTTTTAAGTACTATTGTAACAATGCCTATTACAAAATGTTATGTTTAATGGCTGCAATAAATCTTATTGAATCTTATTGAATCTTATTGAATCTTATTGAATATCAGAAACCATTCGTAAATCACAAGGCATGCTTATGTATGTAAAATTTTATTTTTCTTAACGATGTACACAATACAAAAATAAAAAGTACACTATGACAGATTTTTATTGTTGAGAAAAGTCAGTAGGCTACCGGTAGCTAACTGATGGTACAAATCTTGACTGATTTGTCCTTGATAATTGGTATTTTTATGGTCCTGGCTACAAGAAACGGTTGGTCTTAAAAGTCAGTAAAAAAGCTACACAAGTCTCACTCCATTATACACTCACATTTGGGTCAAAGTATTACCAGTTGTGTCCCCATTTTTATGGGTGATGATAATAAAAATTGTTATTAATTTGAGGGAGGGGAAGGGAGGTAAAATATCAAACGGACTGTTTAACATTATTTTTTGTGACCCCCATAGAAATCAGTGACTTAGGAGTGCCTGCAAGTCAGGGACTTTAATACACCTCAAAGGGGACTTTTCAGTAACCTGTATGACCGGTAGATACCCTATTGATATCTAAAACTTAAATCAACTACCAACAACATATTTTTCTGAAAATGTCTGTAGGCCTACTAGGATAAAATATTGGTATTATGTTGAGAGATAATTTTTGACATAAATTGAATCAGATAGCCCAAAGATTTGTAGGACTACATCAAAGCAATTTTTTAGCCCTACACCCCCCTTGGCAAAACTCACGTCTGCGTCTTGAAGAACTGCAGTCGACTGGGATCAGTGCCCACCCGTTGTGCAACGGCCGTCACCAGCTGCTCATAGTTCATCCTCATCGACAGCTCCATTGTAAACCCGGGGTCATTGGGGATCATCTTATCACAGAATGTCACTTCCACTCGGTAGAACAGGTCTCTGCAGACATTGTGAGGTTAGGTCAATTTAATTAGGAAATAAGATAAGACAGAATATTATAATGCAATATTCAGTCTAATGTGAGGATTGAAAACCTCTTCAGTTCATCTTAATTTCAAATCAAGCTGAGTCAAGTTTGGCTTGTTTCACAGAAGAACACAAAGGGAATGTTACATTTTAATGGGATTTGAGCACTCATAGGTTTAGGTCAATGAGATTTGTTAAGTTGATGGTTGCACTAAAACAATTGGTTATTCATACAGCAGAGAACAAATTTATTGCTAGATTCTTTGAGATGCACTGTTAGAACCTAAGAAGAAGGTTATATTCTTAAGCTTGGTTCTTGCTAATTTGTTCATAAGTTAATTTGTCATGAAAATAATTGAGTTTTGTAGCGGCATAACACTATTTGCGGTACATTACAAAAACAAAAAGAAAACAACTTGACAGCGCAAAAAAATTCGCAAGTTACAGCAACAATACATTTTTACTAAACTAAAAGTATAACTTTTTTCTTGTGTTTGGTCAAAAATATTTCAGTCATTATAAAATAGTTTAACAGGTTATAGAAATGTACGTTGTCATATAAGCTATTTAAAGTAGTTTATATGTCAGTTGTTTGAGAAAACATATTCCATACAAATCTAATCCTTCTATTTATTTCTTAATTTTTCTTTCTCATTATGAAATGGATTTAACAGTTTTATCAAATGGATACGGAATTAATCAGTATAAATCACTGCTATATGAATTGTAAACTGCAATATATCAGCACAAAAACGTGGTTCCCTTTATGCAAACAATACAAAGGTAGGTACTGGGAAGAAACATTAGAAGACAGCCTAATTGACACCAAGACCCGAATTAAACAAAATAGTAGAGGATATGTGTGTAAGTCCAATGATGACTTGTACGGTATAACACTAGGCTACACAATACATACCTGAAGTACTCCCTACACGTAGAGACTTCTGGCTCTGTTGCATTCGGATGTCTTCGAGTTTCTCTCGGCTTCTTTTGGAAAACTATGATATCACCGTCCATGAGTTCCTCTAACACCTATGACACAAAGATATTGTAGCTTTCATGACTATGTAATGTGAATCATTTCAAAATAATCATTTTTTATTGAGCACAACTATGGTTGTTTTTTTTTATTCAAAGACACATTCGACTAGGTGATTTTAATCCATATCTTGCTGGTTAACAATTGTTTATTTGCAATCATTCAATGTATAGGAAGAATAATTGGCATTAATACCAAAGGCCTAAAGAAACCACTTTTAAACAGGGTGTCCACCAAAGCCAACCAGAAAAAAAAATCATGAGTAATTGATGAGTAAAATAAAGAACAAATTCTAGGTAGTTCAGGTCGTACTTTTCATGCTAAACTTTTTAACGTGGTTTGCACCAACTCCCGCAATGCTGTTTTAGCGCTAACACAGCTCGCTATTTTTGTTATCGGAAAAAGCATTCTCAGTTAAAGAAACAAAATGTATAATTACTGTAATATTGCCTGACACAAGTATTCAATTTTTAGATATTACTGATGAAATGATCCAAAAATTTAAATATAATCCTTAAACCTGCAATTTATAAATAATTTCTAAAAATAGTGATATGTCGATACCAAAATTCATCGGATCTCCTACAGGCACCTGAAAAATAGATTCTTAATGCTGATCAATGAAATTTTACTAATTTTCTGAAGGATTACTACACCAACCCCTGTCTTTATGTTCTTTCATATAGTATGTAATTTTGGAGTTAAGGGTAGTTTTTCAAGTGGCCTACAGAAATAATTAATGCAGAAATTACAAAAATTTTACGTAGCCAATTTAAGTATTAAACCCTTCTAAACACATTAAATAAATACCACGTTAAGGTAAATGAAGATGTTACAAAAAATATAAAAAATATAACTTTCTGCATGTTTGCCATTTTGAAATTTTTGGTCAAGCCAAACTCGAGGTTATATTGTGATCATCGTAGAGACACCATCATCGTTTTCTGTGATAACTGAAAAATCCTGAATATCTCTCTCAGTAACAGAAACATCACCACTGTCTACCGTGGTCGTGACAGAATCCTGATATTGTTCAGCGGTAACAGAAACATTATAATTGTCTCCCGCGATCACAGTTAAGTTATTATCATCTTCCTTGATATTTGCTTAATTCAAATAATTTTCCGCGGTCATCATTGTCAAGCAATATTTTTTGGACATTATCATCGATTCCCGCGGTCACGGAAACAACATCGTCGTCTCTCGCTGTCACAGAAACGTAATCTTCATGCGCGATCGCGCAAATTGAAAATTCCCGGTAAAATACAAACTTCACGCATAACTCCCGGTTTTCCAGGTCAGCTTTGACCATTATTGAAAAAAATTGCGGTGGTATATTTGAAGCTGGAAATTTACTTAACAGATTACTTGAGTTTATAATAAGTTGTTCAATCTTTAAGCGCTAAGTTATTAGTAAAATTGTATAATAAATTAAATATTTTGGATAATTCAAGTGATTTAATTTTTTTATCCCAATTCCACTGTATTTTGTAATAAACACAATCAATATTTACCTTTTCTAAAGGTTCGTTATAATTTGATATCCTTTCCACAAGATTTGGTTTAATCTCTTCAAACAACAAAAGTTCCGTGTCAGGCGGAAAGCCAGCTCTTTCGTTCAGCATCGGGATTAGTTCCTCTGTAACACAAAGTACAGTAAGATACTTTAATACTCAACTTGCAGTCATACAAAAACTTAACTTGGATTCCAATGCAAAATGGTTACAATTTTACGTTCCTTCCTAAATCTCAGTTTTGTAAAATTTTTTAAAACATGTTAAGTTTTCCTAATCTGAGCTAATTTTGTATTTTTTTATTATTTCATTTTGCCTCTCTTCTTTGTCTTTAAATTCAACTCTTGGACTAAAAGGAACAGGTTATATTTTGGGTGAACTTTAATGATTCAGAGAGGTTTAGACTGGTGTCACTAAACTGTGCTCGATTAAACACGTATACCTCACTGTAGATATAATGCTCAATAGAATTAGTCCGTACAAATGTTCAACAGCAATTCAAGCAGTGAGGGGCAAGTTAATAATGAGTTCCCAACAGTTTAACATCTGGCACTCATGCTGCTAACTACTTGTTCACACGTCTCCATTAGTATTGAGCTAATTTCAGAAATTGATCTAATACAAATAACGTCCTAACTTTTAATTGTAAACCTAAATAGAAATTTGGAATTTATATTATTTTTACCTTAAACAGCTGCTCTCAAAGATTTAAGGAACAACCTCTGCAATCCAGCTAAATGAGACAACTACGTGGTCTTAATCGCCGAGCTGTAGACATTCTTGTATTATCACATTTAGTCAATCACTAAACTCTACTTCTCTTACTCCAGATACTCACGGACTTTAGAGATGACAGGCATGTAGTGATGTCCGCAGTAGTAGATCCTCTTGGCCTTTGGGTCGTACATCTTGAAGAACAACAGAACGTCTGAATCCTTGTCGAAGGCCGGGAGTGCTGAGAGTCCAGAGTCCGGAGAGACACACTCCAGAAACACGTTCCACGGGTTCTGACTCTCTGAGACATCCTGTACATTCTTGTGGAGGTCAGCCTCGAGGTCGAGTGGCGTTGGTCGGCATGTCTGGTTTGACCTGACGCCAAACGGCCATATCCGCAACTGCTCTACGGAGTATTTCTGTGGAAATTGGAGAAAGTCTTACGTTTCTGAGAACTAACTTCCTCTCCCAAAGGTTAAGGTAAAGTACAAAAATCTAGATATCTATTGTTGTTAACTGTACAAACACAACATTGACAATTGTAAAAGAATATGTAACACTCTGTAAAGAGAACAAATGATTTTACATGATAAATATTGGTTATGAAGGCTTTATTTACCTAAATTAATTATTGTTAAGTTTGAAATATCAAGTAAAAGGGTAAAATACAAGTAATAACATTTCCAAAACAAGTTAACATTTTGACTGAAATTTATAAAATTTTTAATTTGTACTAAAAACCGTGATTCAATACAAATAATTTAATGTTTTGTGAAAGTAAACGTAACAGGATTGTGTTGTGTTCTCATCACTGGTAGTCCATGAATACAACAACCTATCAATCCAAGGTAAATCCTAGGTTTGTTATATGCAGCTCTTCTTAGTGAATTGTTACCATAAACAAATTTATAACGCTATTCCTTAAATTATTTTATAAAGAGGTCAACTCCGCAAAACAAGGTTTGATCTTTTGTGCCGAGCTCTGCCACCCTATACTTACGAAGGCATCAGCAAAGTGATCCATGAGCTCTTGAAGAGTAGATGTCTTCTTCACCCGGAACACCTTGTAAGTGACTCTGTCTGGGTCAAACAGATCGTTGCCTTGGTGACCACAGAAACTGGGGAAGGAGATAATAATCATGTTAGAAGGAGACAATCAATAAAATTTCCCCCAACCACAGGCATTAGCCCATTTGGGGATTACATTTCATAAATTCGTTGTTTCTACCACTGTAACTGATGTACTGTACTGAAATAATAAAGGATTCATTCATTCTGTATTTTGACACTATTTATGTATGTTATATGCTACTTACAAATAAAGATTATTTGAATTTGAATTCATTCATTCAATTATGTATAAATGGCAAAGATTCTTTAAAATCATGGTAGATTATCGCTATTCCAAACAAATCAAGACTAAACATAGTTCAACATGGGCTTAGGATTACAAGAATTTCTGGAATACTGTATTAGTCTCATCTATCTGGGTATACAAGGAAACAAACTTTTATAAGCTATAACTAGAATATTGAACTGTTCCAACTGACAAGCAATTTTAGGCCTGCAGTCTCAAGATATCTTTCTTACCGACTCAAACATTCCATAATCTAAAATATCTAATAATGATTGTGAAAAGTGTTAAGTAGCCTATTTCTGTTTCTTATGCTAGGATCAAACTTTTAACAAGATTCAGGTAAGCCTCATTCACCAAAAACAATATTTTTTACAGATTGGTCACACTGGGCCAGCTCGAGATTCTGTCCGATCAAGTGCACTGGATTTTGATGTTTCAATTATTTTCTAACCATAAAACTAGTTGGTTTTAAAACCTTTTATCCATCACAAACTTTGTTAGCAGTGATTATTGGTTTTGCCCAGTAAAGCAATATCTGTTAGACCAACCTAGTAGTAAGACTCAAACTCTTAGCTACAAGACCGCTTCTTGTAAATCTATTCTGGCAAGATAGAAAATGAAATCAGTTTGTAGTTTTTTTTTTAGAAAAAAATCAACTTTGCTTTGAAATAATTATTCAAGAGAAAGGAAGGATACACAAATGAATAAAGAGTCCTAGGAGGTCAATAAAACACATAAAAAGTACACAAACAAACTGATATTTAATGGATTCTACCTTCTACTTTTGAAGAAGCCCCTGAAAGGGGCCAGATACCAGTTTATTTTTGTACTTTTAATGTGTTCTATTGACCTCCAGGGACTCATTATTCAGGTTAGTTAGTTGTGTATCCTTCCTCTGCTACTAATTAGAGATTCACTCAAAAAACTTTCAGCTAGTCCAGCTTGGTTAGTTTAGTTGTTCTAGTTTAAAAAATTAATATTTAAGAACTAATTGGTTCAACAATTAATGCATTAATTATTGTTAGGTCTCAATAGTTTATGTCATCTTGCTTGGGTAGAAAAATGAACGGGCATGTCATTTTAAAAAGATAGTGAGAGTTTAGTTATTTTTCTTTCTTTTAGAAAGTGTGATTCTTAATATAAATTGTTTAGAAAAATTAAAAGATTGCTGCAAAATTATAATTACCTGTCCTCAAGTAAGACTTGAACAGTCATGTAAAGATGGGCTTCGTTCCTCTCCTTCCTCCTCATCTGTTCTAGCTTCTTCTCCTCCTGCAGCCTCGTAAACAGCTGTTAAACAGAAACACATGTTACTACCAAGGTTTGACCACTGAGGATATCAAAACTTTAACAGTTATCAATCTTATTAGTTTCAAATTCTTCTCCAATACCAGAAAAAAAAGAAATGAAACAAGTAGGCCTACTGTTAAGAAAATTTGAACCAACTTTTCCGTTGAAGAAAACCCGTTTCTTGAAGAAAAACTGTTGACCGTTTTTTGCACTATTATAATCTGTAGGGAATTGCTGCTGACTAGTTTTGTTTCAAGTGCATTATTGTCGAAGACTGCTACACATCAAAACCTAGCCTAGTGGTTAGCGTCTCCAACTTCGGTGTGAAGGGACAGGTTCGATCCCCAGAATATCCACTAAACTTGGATACTTTGGAACGCTTTATATCATAAGAGTTTGTGATCCCAACATTGAAAATACTACTGGTGTAGACACTAAACATTAGTGATGGGTCGGTACTTCACGTCAAATGTCGGTTCAGCCGGTTCTTGGCAAAAGAAGCAGAACCAAGAACTGATGGTAAAATCTAGGTACCGCATCCCGTCGCCGATAATGCTGGAAAATTACAGATACTTTTTTTTTTTTTTTTTTTAAAAGAGGTTGGCGGCCTCTTTTAACCTTGCGTTTGCCCGTCCACATAGACAACAGATCTGTGCGTGGAACGCATCCAGCAAAGCAAGGGGTGAGCTGGTACAGTACAAAGGTGAACTGTACTGAAATAAGTTTGTGGCAGTGACCAGGATCCGAACCCACGACACTTCTGCCTTGGGCCCAAAGTCCGTGACGCTACCAACTGAGCCACCAACTCACCAAACCTGCCGCGATCGTGCAAGACGACAATAACGTTTCCGTGACCGCGAGAGTCAATAATGATGTCTAGACGGCCAAGAGAGATGTTAATGATTTTGCCGCCATTAAAGACAACGACGATTCCGTGAACGAGGCAGATGTTCATGATTTTGTTGTGATGGTGGGAGACGATGATGGCGTCATCTACATGACCGAAAGAGATGTCTATGATTTGCTTAATTGATTGATTGATTTTGCCGCAATTGCGGACGACAACAAAGACGTTTACGTAACCGCAGGAGATGTTCATGATTAAGCCGGGATTGTGGAAGGCTATGATGACGTCTACATGGCGGCGAGAGATGTTTATGACTTTTCCGCAATTTCGGACAAAGACGAAGATGTTTCCGTAACCGCGGGAGATGTTCATGACTATGCCGGGATTGTGGAAGACTATGATGACGTCTACAGGGATGAAAGAGATGTTCATGATTTTGCCGCGATTGTGGACGACGACATTTCCATAATCGCGGGAGATGTTCATGATTAAGCCGCGGTCGCACTTATCGGCTTGGCTTGTGGAGAGACAGTTCTACACAGTCATTCTACACAGTTGAGGAGTTCATGAACTGGAGAACATCACCGATGTTCCAGTGAGGACTAAACAACCCTCATAGTAATAAACCATCACTACCGACAGCGCCTCAAAGCCCGACAACTTTATGCTGTTTTATAATTGAATCTCTGTAATGTTTGACGCCTATTCTGTACTCTATGTTCAAGAACACAGAGACATCATCTCTATGTATTCTGATTCTGATTCTGACAATGTATGTATAGCTTTGATGTTTTGTAAACTTCAACAATTCAATTCAAAGACACTTTATTCGCAGATATACAAAAGTATACGTGAATGGTGTTCAGAACAATACATCATACATTACATCGCCTAATAGCTAGAAAGAAAACCGATACATTATACATTTATACATATATATTTTATACATATACAGATATATTTATTTAAATGACCTTAAACACTGAAAAATTCTTCAAAACTGTATAGCAATGTCGCGCTTTCATAGCTATACGCTATGCCCCAACCCCCCACCCACACAGAAAGGAAGCCCTCGTCAAAGTTTTCATACCTCCTCAGGTATGTCCGTCTCGGTAACCTCCTGTAGTACATTGTGCAGTTCAGAGTCCCGTATGTAGACCAGCATGTAAGCATTGGTACAGTGTTTCACCGTCATGTTCAGATCGTCGTCCTGCCCACCGTAGTTGTGGTCGATCGCCTCCTGTTTGGAGCAGCGTGACACCACGTCATCGTCAAACTTGCACCACTGGAAACATTATTTTCGTCTTATCAGTGGAAATTTTAAGTAAATATCGCTAGATTGGAAATCAATATTTTGGTGTGAGTCTCAATGTAAAAACTCGAGTATGAGGTTTAGGCAGGCAAGTCCTTTAAGTAAGACCTGTCATTTATAAAAGTTTATATTGATAAATGCTCTTAAAATACTTTGCAAAAAAAGTTGCAAAAATGTTATGCCAAAACCATTAAGAGACTACTAAAAGTAAGCATTATTGTCTTTTAAATTATTTGAATATGTGAATAAATGAATATGCATTCTACTTTTGTGGAACTAGCTTTTTTTGTAAGCACATACATACAGGTAGACGGTTGATTTACGATAATAACATTTATAGAATGTGGTATAGCCACAATATGTATTTGTGTGTTACCATTGACTTTGGTTGGTTCAATTAATCTTCCTATTTTATTAATCCACGTTACTATTATTAATCTATGTATTTTAAAATATGAAAAAAAGATTGGACCAGAAAAACTTATGTGCTATAAAACTCATAATTAATTCTAAAGGGACTAAAATTAATTGAACAAAAATCAAATGCACATCAGTTGAAATGGTTACATAGCAGATGTAGTGTTAGTCTGGTTGCCGGTCAAAAAACCTGGAAGTAAGGTCCACCCGAAGTTTTATGGTGTTTTCTGTTTCTTCAAGACCTACATAACTAAAATCTGCAAGGTGCCACTTTGTCACCCTTGAGCAAATTGAAATATTCAAGATGGCGGCCAAGATGGCTTAAAAACTGTATATTTGCTGTATCTTTCCCTATAGAAGAGACAGAATAATAATTTTTGTGTCTAATTTTATGTTTTAAGGATCAGAGAATACCAATAATTGATTATCTTAGTAATAAAATACCCCCGCCACAGCAAACCTGCCGACTAAGCGAATTTCCAGTTGCCTGAATTGATTTTCAATTAAATGTATTTAATTAACATTAATTTTTATGAGTACTTAGGCTTGCTGCTACAGGGAGGGTAAAAAAGTGTTTTTTTTTTGTGAAATATTAATAACTTAGTATAAAATAAATAAATTTACCAATTTTGATCAAAATATATCCTAATATAAAAATATATAAAATATAATCAAGAATAACATGTGAATTTTAAAATAACAATTATTTGTATTTTCTCCGTAACTAATAATGGTACAAAAACACTTTGATATACTAAATTATTTGTTCTTTTAAGCTCTTTAATAAGGTTTGAAGAGAAATTGGAAAATTTTGCGTTTAGAGGGTCAAAAATTAGAAAAACAAATTTTTACCCCATAAAACCCCACGTAAAACCCCGTTCCCATGGTCCGATCATGCTGGTTCGGTTTACTAATCCTGTATATCTGCTGTATCTTTCCCTATAGAAGAGACAGGATAATCATTTTGTGCCTAGTTTGATGTTTTAATTAGAAAATTACCCAAAATAATAAATGAATATAAGTTTTTAATAAATTTCCACATTAATTTGTTGCCAAGTTTCCTTATCAACAATGTTTTCAAGTATTTACTTGACTTAAAACATTATATCTATGGTTTCTGAGGATAAGTGCTACATTCAAACAGAACACAGTCATCAAATCAGTTAACTTACAAGCAGTTCTCCTAATTGATGCTTGTGCTGTACTGGGGACAGTGCATTATCCTTCTTCAGGAACAGTGAATGACTTTATCAACTGCTTTTTAAATTATAGTTTTCTTGAATTAAGAAAAAAACACTGTTCTTTAGGCTAGTCAAAATACGGTCCAACATCAAACTTAAGGTAAAAGAAATAAAATATATTTCTTCCCCATATATTCCAAAATATATGGGATTTTGTCAAAAAAGGTGTCAAGAATATTATACTAAAAATCAAGAAAATCCAAGTGGTGGAAAGCCGCCATTTTTGAAAAAACTTCCGCCATATTGGATTTATGTAAGCTTTTAGTAAAACATCAATTATTTGACAACTAATCGTCTTAACGATTTGCGGTTTGTCTTAATAGATTCCTCTTTAAGTTTACTTTAAGATAATAATAACCTTATACCATTTCATTATTGATTTATTTAAAATAGACAGCTTTAAATTGAAACAATAGCAAATTTCGAAGATTTTTTTGTAAAACCGAAAAATGTTTGCAAATACAAACTCAGGTGATAAGAACATTCATATTTTGTGGCTCTTAAAAGAATCTGAATACAATTTTCAACAATTATCAACCTCATATCAGTTTGTATATTGCTTTGAAGATATATTATGGGATATATTGTTATTAGTCTTCAACTTGGAACGCTAGTCGTGACGCGGGCTGCACCACTACATCTAGTTCGATTAAAATACGCTTTGAGGTGGGAAAAATTGCTTTGAGAACATTTAAAACATATTTTGGAATCATACATTCATACATATAGGGCAATGTATAAAAAGATCTGACAAAATCCTAGCATGAGAACACTGAACACTGTTTTTCATAATATGTTGGTGCAGACAAGCCTTGTATGGTTTTTGCACCTATTGTATAATATGCATGTATTCATTATAGTTCAATAAATAAATTGATTGATTGATTGATTGATTAAAAAAGTTGGGGTTTTGAAACATACCAAAATTCAATTTTTCATAATAGACAATTACATATATGTGTCCGTGAACACGATAACTTGAGTAATTTTTATACAATTTTGATGAAATTTGGTTTGAAGGTGTAAGGCAGGATAAACTTGAATAAGTTCAAGAACCAGCATGATCGGACCATGGGAACGGGGTTTTACGCGGGGTTTTATGGAGTAAAAATTGTTTTGATAATTTTTGACCCTCTAAACGCAAAATTTTCCAATTTCTCTTCAAACCTTCTTAAAGAGCTTAAAAAGGCAAATAATTTAGTATATCAAAGTGTTTTTGTACCATTATTAGATACGGAGAAAATTTAAATAATTGTTATTTTAAAATTCCCATGTTATTCTTATGGGGAATATTGTAAAATGTTGTAGTCTGCTTGTTTATGGATATATTTTGATCAAACTTGGTAAATTTATTTATTTTATACTAAGTTATTAATATTTCACAAAAAAACACTTTTTTACCCTCCCTGTAGCAGCAAGCCTAAGTACTCATAAAAGTTAATTAAATACATTTAATTGAAAATCAATTCAGGCAACTGGAAATTCGCTTAGTCGGCAGGTTTGCTGTGGCGGGGGTATTTTATTACTAAGATAATCAATTATTGGTATTCTCTGACCCTTAAAACATAAAATTAGACACAAAAATTATTATCCTGTCTCTTCTATAGGTAAAGATACAGCAAATATACAGTTTTTAAGCCATCTTGGCCGCCATCTTGAATATTTCAATTTGCTCAAGGGTGACAAAGTGGCACCTTGCAGATTTTAGTTATGTAGGTCTTGAAGAAACAGAAAACACCATAAAACTTCGGGTGGACCTTACTTTCAGGTTTGGGTGAAAAATGCCTTTTGGCAACTAGACTATGTGTTGATTTAAGTTAAGAACATCCTCAGTGTTCAGCCAATTAAAAATTGTTACAACAATGCCAAATTGAACTTGACCGGCCTAAAGGATGTCAATGTTTTGACAACAGGGGCCAGTTGAGAGGAAGTAATACTGACCTTGCCGTCACCGCGGGGGTTGATGAAGACAACGTAGTGACCACCGTGATTGTCGCCACTGTGGACCAACACCGCATGGAGAGTATAGTCAGCCGGAGTGGTTTCTGGCGCCTGCAGGTAGCCACTCAGGTTGATCTTATCTTGAAACTCAAACCTGGAACACCCGGATTTGAGATTTAGGATAGCTTGTACATATCTTGGCCACAACAGCAGTTTGAATATCTAGATACCTAATAACTATGCTTGTGCTTTGTGTTAGTCAATTGAACTTGGAAAGTTGAAAAGACAATTATAATGTATTCAACATGAAACATAACAGAACTACAATAATCAATGGTATTGCCAAACAACGAACGTAGTATTTCAGCTTTTGGGTTAGCTTTTTAAAGATCAAACCGTTACAAATGATCAGTCCTTAGTTAAAACTATCCAAACAAATAAATGAAGAAGGAATGGATACTACATAACTAACTAATCCAAGAAAAGAGTTACAGTAGAACCTCAATTAACCGTCACCCATTTAACCCTCACTCTCTGTTATCTGTCACACTGCTACAATATTTAAATAATTTTAAAATGTGATATTATTTCATAGTAAAACATTGAACAAGTACAACATACAAAATTTCCACCGGCGTAGAAATAAACAAATAAAATACCAGGTCTGTAGTACTTTTGTATAGTAAATTTAAATATATATATATTATGTATTATTCACTTTTACGACTTCAATTCCCAAACATTTTAAATCAACTTACTACTGTCCTATAACAGCACTGTGCTTAGTTTTTTCCAAGCAGTACTTTTTCCTAAAAAACTTAACCCAAAGTGTTATGATAAATTGTTAAATGTAATTGCAAGTGTAATTGATCAATTGTTTAACCACAGAAACAAAAATTTATGAGAGGGTAAACTTTTCAAGTTAGCCGCTAACTTAGCCATAAAAATTAGTTAATAATTAATTAATTATCAACCGATGCAGTTTACCTGTCATTGAACTTGACGGAGCAGTCGGTGACGGGGTCGTACTGGAACCTCATGAGGTGCAGATGCAGCACGGGAGGGAATGAAGCAAATATCACTCCCTTCTCTGCGTCCTGCAATCCGTGCTCTCCTGCATCATACTTGTTGTCTCCGTCCAACACCTCCGCCTTGACGTAGTCACTGAATGACTCGGCAACTGTGACACGACAGGGTACAAATTGAATACTCAAGGTTTCCAGCTAGACATGAAAAAAATCAAGAAAAATTCCAATTTTCCATGTTCAAAATTCACAGTTCCAAGGCCTGATTGGTAGCCAACATACTTGTGTAGTAGTTAGCGTTTGAAGAACCTTAAAGAACCCCTAAATAAAAAATTATACATAGCGAAATTGTAGTAGGCCTACATTGATAATTGCATGTTTAATTGTGGTTTTATGTTACAGTAATTGACCTGACCAAGAAATTAGTGGTACAGTCAAACCTCGTTAGTATAAACCTCGGCCAAACAAATTTCTTGATAAGACAAATTTTTTTAATCCTCTTGAATCTCTTATAATGGTCAATGCCAAAAACACCTCCGTACAACGTAGTAATTGGGTTTAAAAACCTCCATAAGACAAATGTGTTTGTGAGATGGACTACTAATAAGCCTCTATACAACGAATATTCTTAGCACAAAACCTCTACAAGACAAATGCGACCTTTGTAAGACAAATTTCTCATGATCTTAACCTCCATGGTACGTAGTTTTCAACATGAAACCCCCCACCCATCCCTCTTCCTTACTCAGTTATTGTCTCAGATCGAGGAGAAGCCTCTATAAGACAAATAACGGCAATATTAAACCTAAAAAATGAACATCAAACCTCTTTATTAAGAATACAGTACCTCGATAATACAAATTTACCACCTGCCCCTTGTAATTTGTCTTAAAGAGGTTCGACTGTAGTCAAATTCAGGAATTTTGGGTCTTAAATTGAATTCTAAATATGAAATAAGAAAAGTAAATTTACCATAAAAATTAATTCTCACCATAATTGATTTTACTATTTTTAATTCTAAAAACTTAATAGGCTTGTTTATTTTCAAAACATTTCATACCAAAATTGTGGCAACGTCATAATAATCTCCCCATGATCATCTCCAGCAAGCTTGGGGACATCGTGATTGTCTTTCGGTCTCAAAGAAAATTCACAAACAATTCATGGACTAGTTTTTGGACATAAAAATGGACTTCGCAAATTCCGAGTCAGCTGAACACCCTGTACAGTTAGTCCTGATATTGCTGTCCCGGTATGGACAATTCTGCAAAGACGCGATTAAGGAAATCAGACTTTACTTAAATTTACCTAAATAAATACAGATCTTTAGTGAAAATAGATCAAACGATGAGCTTAAGTTCTGTTTAAAGGGGTTATAAAATCATTTTTTTTCACAGACAGTGGCGGTGTATGAAATTGTTCTTAAGGCTGCATATTTTTGCTTTGTGTGGCAGTTTGCCAGACCATATCAAAAACGTATTGCAATAGTTCTGTTCAGATAAGGACTGGCCGTAAATCTAATTTAAGCTGATTATTTTAGTTTATAATACTTCTGACAGGATACAATTCAATGATTTACCCTGCTGTGGTTTAGTCGCTTCTACCAGGCTAAAACTTTACAATTTTAATTTTAGTGAGGGAGCAGTTGTTTACAAAATAATAGAATAAATTCATTAATTAAAGTACATTTTACATAAGCAGTAAAAGTTTATGTATAAAATTTTACAACAACTCCTAACAAGTTTCTTGGTGCACCAAGCTCATAAATTCAAACACACCAGTGGTAACTTTATAAATATTCACTGATGTCTCTATGTTTTATGCAAAGCGCAATAAGTAGTATACTTACTATTTTTCTTCCCCTTAATGTTGAGTTGAATGTCGTAAAATGTTTCAACCCTGGTGGAATTGTAGTCAATGTTTTTGCATTTGATGAAAGACTGGAAAAAAACATTAATGAGGGAATTTAAAAGCAAGTTATAAATAATGAATACACAAAACTTTATAAGCCATCTACAACAACCTCATTATTACTTGTAAAACCAGTAAGAAGTGTGTATTATTTTGGCATTAAAGATTCCTCTTTCAAATAAACATAAATTAAAATGCTATGAAAAACCCCATCCTATAAAGGATTAAACAATTTCTTAAGCAACTTCCTAGTGAATTTAGAAATGAACAAAGCAGTAAGAATTTCATTAGAAAGCTAAATAAAACTTCATTTGGTGGAGAAAGCTTTTCACTACATACGTTCATAGTACGTTTTCACCTCAGTCATAATTGATTTAGATTTGTTTATTTTCATTTACTGGTTCATAGATGTTATTTATAATACCAGTAATGGTCTAAGATATATCTATGTTATTAATTTAAGATAGATTGGTTTACGCCATTCTGTGCACAAAAGTGTACTTTATGAATAAAGCATATTGGATTTGATTAGTAAAAGCCTATTTATCAAGTTTGAGAACATAGTAAATATACTTACCACCATTTTACCCTCGAACAATTTGGGAACAGTTCCCTCAACGCATGTCCCTTTCATTTTGCTTTCCAGTTTATCGAGCAACTAAAAAAATACAGATGTAGAGGTTAAATAAGGTTACATTATTATTTCAAAATCATACCACTTTTGTTGTTCTACATTCTACAGTATTATATAAGTGAACCATAACACTATACTATTAGTTATGAATACAACTTCTAAGAGGTTATTATATTCTAAAGGGAAGCATGAGTTGAAATGAAATGTTTGGAATATTTTACATTGGAAACCTGAGAGCTAAGAGAGCCAAGTTCAGAGGGTTACCTATCCAAATTTTGCCATTAAGTGTAACAAAGAAGAACTAGTAGCAACTAGACAGCTTATGATACATCCCAAAACATTTCATTGGACATCCAATGAATGTGAATAGTTGACATTAGACGACATGAGAATGTTACTTCTTAAAAGTAAAAATTGAACAAGTTAAAAATACAGCTGTGATTTTACCAATTACTCCACTCTGGCCAGTAACGTAAGCTAGGTCAGATGAGTTTATTTGTGAACTTTACTTTACAAAGTTTGCTAGGGTAAGAATTAAAGTTGTCAAACATGACAAATAGTTATGGTTTCTCAGAGAAATAACTGCCAGAAAACTTAACAGGTAACAAATATAAACTTACAACTCGTAAAAACTCCTGCACGTCGTGTTGCATGAATGAGTCGAGCGTTTCCCAGCCGAAGCTCTTTGTCAGTTTCTTGGTTCCGACTGGTTTGTCGCAGAACTGTAACTCGTGAAAGACCCGTTGTAACGCCAGCGCCACGGACTTGCTTGAGTCATCACTTTCTGTGGGCATCTTGTAGACAGCCTATAAACAAAACAAATTAATGTAGCTAAATGATCATCTTACTGTAATTATTAGTCTAGTAGTAAAATCAGAAAAATAATAATGTAGATTATATAACTGAGGGAAGAAACGGAGAAAGTTTGATACACACAACTTATTAGAAAAAGAGAAAACATTGAAATCCTACAACAGTAAGTTAATTTTCCAGTTGAAACCAATTTTGAAGCAGTAAAATGTTCAATGCAAGGATGTAATAAAAGTGTGCAGCAGTCTGATTTATGGTAGGCATCAGTTTGACATCAGAGTAAAAAATGCAGAAAGAAAATTACACATCTGAAAATGTTCACTCGAGTCATTCCACGTCAAATCACCCAAAAAATTTAGGTTATGAAACCCACCATCTCAGAATTTGATGAAACTTTGTGAAAATGTTCATTCCTATGCCCTAAGTAAAAATACAAAAAATTTTGAAGATACTGCTGATACTTTTTTTTATATTAATTTTTTTCCGATACACCGTTTTGATCATTTCAGGCCTCGGAATCGACAACCAAATGTAGCCTGGGTGACCAAAAAATTTAATTATTCACAAGCCATTTAAGATAACACTTTCAAATTTTTAAGGCATGTTTCCTATGTCTTGAACATAAATAAAACAATATATAGGTCACTCTAGAGTATAATAAAAAATTTATAAAATTATTATAAATTTTAATTTAATTTTTTCAAATTTGACCGTCATGGATTGTGAAAAACGGCTATAACTTTTTTCTCCAACCAGCTAGAACAATTATTTTTTTTGCAGAATTTTCCTTAAGCTATTACCTGTTTGAAAATATAAAGATATTAGTGGTTTTTTATATACAGATATTGGAAAAAAATAGTTTTAATAAAATATTAATTAACGCTAAAAATTTAGTAACATATATTTTTGTATCTTATAAAAAAAATACTTACAAGAATTTGCAGTTATGAAAGCTTAATTCACATAAGTCCTGTAGTTCTATGACAATAATAAATTAAATTTTTGAAGATTACTTGATATTTCCTTAAACAAATTTAAAGCTAAAAGCTTTTGAGCGGTATACCTTGAAATGGTTGTAACAAAATAGTTTAATGTTTTTTTTTATTATTGGCTAATTTACCCACAGCTTGAGTAAATTTTATGGCATGAGAGATTAGTCACATGACATACCTAGTTATTTTGATTTGAAGTCCTTCCTGACTAGTAGCCATTTTTTCAGGTTTGATTCAGCCAGCTCTAAGTCCTTGATTGTAAAGCTCGCTGAAGGCTTACTTTTCTGTGTGTGCTTTTTATGGTACCTCCAAGACCACCTCAGGTTGACTTACCACAGCTTGTGGCATAAAAGGAGTGCTTAGCATTAATCCCAAAATCGTTTTCATGCTCATATATATTTTTTAAGTTTTTCCTGTTTTTATATTGCCCGTCACATCCATCCGTAGAATAGTGCACCTTTTTGACTGTTGGAAAACTGTCTTTCAGCCATTTCATTAGTTTTATTTGGACGGCACTAACAAAAGAGACATCACGATCCAAGTCATCACTACCTTGATTTTACACAGTGATTTTAAACCTTTAGTTACAAACTTCGAACTTTAAAATTTGGTTATAACTTCGAAATTCTGCCAAATCAAAATAACTATGTATGTGTGTAATCTCTCATGCTATAAAATTTACTCAAATTGTAGTCCTTCCTGACTAGCATGCCATTTGTTCAGGCTTGATTCAGACAGCTCTAAATCCTTGGTTGTATAGTAATAAGTTCTACCTGTAGAACTTGTTTGTGGAGCACCAACTGAACATACAATGTTACTAAAAGGGATCAAACCGGAATCTTTCTCTTTGTGGCCAGTAAAATGATTTATTAGCACCATATGGATGCATGAACACTAGTTCAGCGTCTTCATATTCATCTGAAGTATTCCTCACAAGAGCAAAGTAACTTACTAATAGCAAAATCCCAAGCTAAATCTTTAAAACATCTTAAAGAAAACCTTTCTCCTAATGATGCAGTAATACTGTTGGACTTTAGTGAGAACTATTGTTTTGTGATTCAAAATAAAATTAAGATTCAGAGCTATCACTGGTCAAGAGGCGGTTGTACACTTCATCCCATATGTGTTTATTTCGCGAGTGAGGGGGAACTAAAGGTTTCAAACCACTGTTTTATTAGTGATTACTTGGATCGTGATGTCTCTTTTGTTAACACGTTCAGTGCGGAATACCTTCAAACAGGCGCTCGATAATGGCGGCGAGGCCCGGGCGAAGCCCCGCAGCGCAACTGAATCGGTGAACGCAATTGGCATTCAAATATTTCAGTCTGACGAATAAAAAAAGAGCAGCGGTGATTGTGCTGTGTTAGCCCGAGAGTGGACGTAGTTCACTGAAACACCCAAAGGTAGCAGCACTGCCTGGATTCGTAGCCAGTGTCTTTGTAAAGTGGCTCAAAAAGAGAAAATTACCGGAACCGGGACAAAAGTATGGCTAGACAGGATTTTACGGGAAATTTTAGTACCAACCTACACCAGACTAAAGCTACATAATCTAAGCTACAGGCTGGCAACGATTATAACGTTCCCTGGCAAAGGCTGAGCTCACACTAAACTAATGTGGAGAGAGTGGCATGACGTCAGCTTTAGCTGATGTCCGCCACCAGTGCTAGTGTCGGACATCATCTATTGATGATGCCCGCACTCAACGTGTTAATGTCATCCAAATAAAACTAATGAAATGGCTGAAAGACAGTTTTCCATCGGTCACAAAGGTGCACTATTTTACAGATGGATGTGACGGGCAATATAAAAACAGGAAAAACTTAAAATATATATATGAGCATGAAAACGATTTTGGGATTAATGCTAAGCACTCCTTTTATGCCACAAGCTGTGGTAAGTCAACCTGAGATGGTCTTGGAGGTACCATAAAAAGCACACACAGAAAAGTAAGCCTTCAACGAGCTTTACAACCAAGGACTTAATGCTGGCTGAATCAAACCTGAACAAATGGCTACTAGTCAGGAAGGACTTCAAATCAAAATAACTATGTCATGTGACTAATCTCTCATGCCATAAAATTTACTCACGCTGTAAATTAGCCAATACTGTAATAAAAAAAACATTAAACTATTTTGTTACAACCATTTCAAGGTATACGGCTCAAAAGCTTTTAGCTTTAAATTTGTTTCAGGAAATATCAAGTAGGCCTAATCTTCAAAAATTTAATTTATTATTGTAATAGAACTACAGGACTTATGTGAATTAAGCTTTCATAACTGCAAATTCTTGTATTTTTTTTTTTTTAAGATTAAAAATACCGTATATGTTACTAAATTTTTAGCGTCAATTAATATTTTAATAAAACTATTTTTTTCCAATATCTGTACATAGAAAACCACTAATATCTTTATATTTTCAAACAGGTAATAGCTTAAGGAAAATTCTGCAAAAAAAATAATTGTTCTAGCTGGTTGGAGAAAAAAGTTATAGCCGTTTTTCACAATCCATGAAAGTCGAATTTGAAAAAATTAAATTAAAATATATAATAATTTTATAATTTTTTTATTATACTCCAGAGTGACCTATATATCGTTTTATTTATGTTCAAGACATAGGAAACATGCCTTAAAAATTTGAAAGTGTTATCTTAAATGGTTTGTGAATAATTAAATTTTTTGGTCGCCCAGGCTACATTTGGTTGTCGATTCCGAGGCCTGAAACGGTAAAAACGGCGTATCGCAAAAAAATTAATATAAAAAAAAGTATCAGCAGTATCTTTGAAATTTTTTGTATTTTTACTTAGGGCATAGGAATGAACATTTTCACAAAGTTTCATCAAATTCTGAGATGGTGGGTTTCATGACCCGGGTGATTTGACATGGAATGACTCCACACCGTTAAAACACACACAACAATGTACCCTCATTAAAGTGGACTCGACTAGACAGCTAATTGATAATATTGTAATGAAATTTCAAATGTGCACTGTATACTGAACAGTTTTGGGGCGATCATCAGGAAAGGAGAGGGTGAAACAATGATAAGAAAGGTTGGTTTTGGCTAAATATGCTGATAAGATTAAGGTTTCACTTACCATGTTACATACAACCATGTAGGCCTAACTTGTGAGCTCAGTACAGTACACTTTCGATTATCCTAGCCCCGGGTTATCAGAGGTTGTTTTAGGCCTAAATGTATATATTAGAGATTTTCCCATATAGGGAATAAGCTATTGCCGTAGTACTCATGGTAAAACCTGGACCCGGGACTGATTTACTTTTTTGTTTTGAGGGCCCTAGAGGCCAAAAACACCATCCGTTCAAATTCATGTACCGGTATATATATAACTGCCAAAAAACTTAACAGGTAATGAATATAAACTTATAACTCGTAAAAACTCTTGCACGTCGTGTTGCATGAGCGAGTCGAGCGTTTCCCAGCGGAAGCTTTTTGTCAGTTTCTTGGTTCCAACTGGTTTGTCGCAGAACTGCAAAAGTGCTACCGCAGCTCAAACCCTGACGTAACCCCTAACCTCAAAATCAAAGACACCTCCATGTTATTCAAGATTCTCGGTCTCTGAGAGGTAGTCTCGGTCCCAAACAACCTTGGTTAATCGGGAGTGTGCTGTACTCAAGTGACTGTTAACTAATTCCGTCAGGACAGGTATGTCCTGTTTCTTGAGTTGGTAATAAAACCTAACCTACGCCTTCACAACCTCACCTTCCGCAGCTGGTTGGTGAAATAGAGTGTTTGCAGGAGAGAATTCATGTAACATGTTGCCCCTTGGTTCTTCAGACCGACGTAACCTGTGTGTTTCTTGGAGTCCCAACTGACACCGTGAGGAGCGTCGGCAGCTACGTGCACCTGTCAACCAGATTAATAAAATTTTAAATCAATAAAATATAATCACACGTTGGACTCTTTCTTGCTTGAACCTTTCACCTACTTTGAGAGCCTTATACGAACTAAAAAAATTAAACAAATATAAGTCAATAAGTTAATGGACACGAACTAAAAAAATTAAACAAATATAAGTCAATAAGTTAATGGACACCTTTAAAATCACACATAAGGGTAATGGCACACTCGCCCGACGATGACCATGACAAAAACCTCGACAAGTTGTTTTTATTCACCACGCAGACAGGACACGACACGACCACCACAAAGAATGTTATGCCTCTCTTCAGTATCAAAATGAATGTTGGAGACTTAGCTACTTTAGTTTAGTGCTGCATTTTTATCGTAGAGACATTTAGTGAAAGAGAAAGCGATACTGGGTGCATCTGATGTTGGCCGTCAGATCTACAAATGGACATTTACAAAATTTGATGGGGAGCTATGCTAATATGAAAATAAATGTAGCCCAAAGACCTCTTTTGAAGTCTTATTCAAAATTTAACTACAACATTACTTAACATAAGTAAGCACTAGATTGGGTTTACTATCATGAAGACCGCTTTTGGATTAGTGGGAATTAACTCACCAAATTTCTAAATTTCAGAACATAACTTAAATGTAACATAACACAAAAAGCAACAACCTTACCTCAAGGATGATAGTGTCATCTTTGATGTATCCTTTCTCTGGGTCAAGGACATCATTCCAGGCAAGAAAGTGGCTGAATCCCCAGTCATTCTCCTTGCAGTAAAACAGATGTTGGATTTCTGAAAATAAAGTCAATCTCTTCATTTTTCATTTACATGTTAAAATATTTGTTTGGATTGCAACACATTTATTACATACAAGATCTTGAGGAAATTCTCATTGAAATGAAAAAGGTAATACAAAAACCAATTAACTTGTTCACTGACTAAGCTGAATATTGTAGGCACTGCCATGGGGCTCGCGCCGACAATGGCCGACGTACAAACGATCTGAAATACATTGGATCACTGAAATCTTAGCCATTAACGAGATAGTTGTTATTGAGGGGGCCACCTGTTTACACCTTAACCTTTTTCACGTTTGTACCGGCTTATGAGTTTAGAATGGGTTAGTTAACAAATAACCACCAAAGGGATTAGCCATAGAAGATCGAATGCCCTTATTATTCAGCATAGAACGTGTTAACAGGTTGATAAGATAATCAATAGAGGATTAGGTATACGATACATTGCTTTTAAAATTTGGGAGAGTTTAGGAGAGTCCCATAGCAGATTTTCAAAGAAAAGTGCTCTTTAGAGTTTTAAGATTTAATTTAAGAAAATGTTCATACAGCAAAAACCTTAACAAAATTATTGGATAGATTAAGCATTTTCAAGACCCACGTTATAGTGTCCTTCATCTCCTTACATCCTATGTTATCTCCTTATTCGTGGTAGTTTGAACTGCATTCAAATTTACTTCACTAAAGACTGCCCACCAAACAGGAAAAGGAGGTTGAGAGGTAGTGAGGGTTGCGCAACTACATTAATTGATCTAGGCCGATAGGAAATTGATGTAGTCAGCACTGAACGTGTTAAAAACAGCTTTATCTATACTCTATACTGCTTCAAAAGTGCAGGTGTAAAGGGGAATTGGCAGTTGTAACTACATATGAGATTGGATCCTCAAGTTCAGCCTATTAAATATCAATCTCAAATCTTTTCATAAGATTCGGTGGATTTGAGATTTAGGTTGACAAATTGATAAGTGTTTCCAGACCCCTTTTACAAATTATTATCAAAGGCTGTTATACAATGTTGTTTAACTCACTTCGACTGAAGGTCTGTATGCCTTCGCCCTCACGCTGTGCAATCAGTCGCAACTCTGCGTTGGCATAACAGCTCCATGTTGAACTTTCCGATTCTCCATTACACTGGGGAAAACATCAGAAACATGTGATATAGCCAATCATATACACTACAGGGTATTGATGAAAAATAGGATTTTTAAGAATCTAAAAAAACTAGAGTGGGAAAAAAGTTTCAAAATAGAATTATTTTAGTTAAAACTATTGATATTCAATTAAATAATGCATACTCTTAGACACACTTACATCTCCTTTTACAAATGAAACAACAGAGAGACAGATTTTCTAACAAATAGTAAGGAAAAAATACCTTAAAACCTTACTTTACTCACAGAAAAGGTACAGAGGAGACTTGCTTATGGGACGACAGTGTGCTTTCAGTTCTGGTATGTTGTGCCAGAAATATGTTTGTGGCAAGGTAGGACAAACTAGGACGGCGAGGAATGTAATCATGTAATTCAAGGTGGGAATTCTTATCGCACAGGGTACAGGGTCTTCCTCCACTGTGAGCATTGTAGTACATGAGGGCAAGAGTGTCAATATGGTATTTTGTATTACATTTGTAGGCCTACCATCATTGGACACCAGCACTAGTGCTAGACACCATCAAGTGTACGATTGAATGTTTCCTCTGTACCATACTTCTCTGAGCTTAACTTGACCCTTCCAAATCCCTAGAAACTGTCAGACCAAAGTTGTTACACACCTGCAGAAAGAATCCAAGACTCCGCTGCTGTTGACGATCCTGCATCGGAGATATCCTGGGCATCACCATGATCTTCCATGGTAGGTTACGGACGTAGCAGGCTGGCGACAGTTGCGACTCCTTCAACTTGCTGAAGTTCTCAACAATGAAGCGGAAAGTAGCTTCTGACCTGGCCTCGTCTGTAACACATAAGTTATGTTAGGATGTCACAATACAGTTTAACAACAGAGTTTTGACACCTGAAATGGTATAAGGTAACTCATACAAATGTAGGCCTGACTCACTGAAATAGTATTTGATTAGCTACTTAAATGATTTGTCATTTAAAATATGAAAGCTGTCTAAAAATTAAGGTCTTCACCAAGCTCCCATTGTAGGTAAGCAAACTTAAGTACAGTCCACAAGAGTCTGCAGTTGAGGGAGGAGCCTATTTACCATGTGACTTCGAAAGAGCCAATGAGGATCGTGCGTTGTTGCCAAATCTAAAAATACCAGCTGATTTGAAAATATTGTTTAGTATATTTTAATTATTGTTGTCAACAGGCGATATGGCAAAGTCGCACTAGCCCTGTCTTGTGATTGGCTGACGCTAACTGCAGACTCTCGTGGACCCTAGTATAGTTTAAATCTGAGACCGACACACTGTTCTTTACTTCTTCCACAACTATTCTGTCTCATGTTTATGGTATAGCCTCTATATCACTGAATTTTACAATAAAAGGTTTAAATTACCTGTATCCGTCAAGTGATCCTGGTTTGTAGTTAATTGACTACAGCCGTTTCATGTTGTAAAAACACATCTTCAGGTCAAACGTACATTGATTTAATCCATGGAATGGTCGTCAAAAGCACAGAAAACGTACTACTATAACCCAGAATGCCAACCGCATGGTAAAAAGCATTAAGCGGTTTGAGAGAGCTTTGCCTGTCAATCCGTAGGCAGCGCCACCAGCGTTGCCATGCAATAGCATAGCAACGCTGGTGGCGCTGCCTATGGATTGACAGGCAAAGCTCTCTCAAAACACTTAATGCTTTTTACCATGCGGTTGGCATTCTGGGTTATAGTAGTACGTTTTCTGTGGTCAAAAGGTTTTAAGTTCACAAAAATAACACATCCACGTACACGAAAACATAAATTGGCCAAAACAAAAATACGAAAAACGTGTGATAGGCATCGGACACGTACGGCGCCGCTAGAAGGTATCACGCGTTTTTCGTATTTTTGTTTTGGCCAATTTATGTTTTAATGTTTTCGTGTACGTGTATGTGTTATTTTTGTGAACTTTAAACCTTTTGACGACCATTCCATGGATTAAATCATTGTACGTTTGACCTGAAGATGTGTTTTTACAACATGAAACAGCTGTAGTCAATTAACTACAAACCAGGATCACTTGACGGATACAGGTAATTTAAACCTTTTATTGTATTCTGTCTCGTTTCCATACCTCAGTCCAAATGTAGAACTCAAAAGGATGCAAGAGAAATTTGTTGCTCTCACCAAATATAAATTGCATTCTTTAACCTTAGCCACTTAGACAAAGCTGTATTGACAACTTGTATAAAAGTTTTTAATGTTAATTCATGGAATATTTGTAGCATCTGTAACCTTCTAGAAAAAGCTGACTCTAAGGGCCCTTAGAGCCAGACATTACAAACACAAAAAAGGTTTCTCATCTTTGTTATTTCTCTTCCATCCTAAAAATGGTTTGTACACTTCCGGACACAATTGAAGGGTTTTGTGCTGGGCGCGTCACATTTAGCAGCACAAAGAGATTTTTTAGTCTTAACTTGATGGATAATGATTTGTACCTTTGACAAAGATTGCAAATTCAGTTTGATACATTAAACCATTGACGGACTAACGAGATTAAAATGCAGAGTATTTTTATATTTTACACACAAGCTAAGTATGGGCCTGCTAGTTCTAGTTAATCCATAGTTGAACGTTGGCTGGGTTGGATTAGACTAAGAGGACTACTTTGCATCAAAATAATCTGTAATGTCTTTTCACAACAAAAACTATGGTGTTCTGGTGTTACTAATGCTATGTGTAATAAATCAATCGTAAAATCAGCAACCTTTTATAATTAAAAATGATTTAATAATAATGTATTTCTATTTTTTTTTTTTTTTTTTTTTTTTTACTGCAAAGACAATTTACAGTTATTGTTAAGTGGACTCTTTAATTTAAATGGTAGAAAATTTGTTAACAGAAGGTAGAAATATATTCTACCAATGTCTTGTATCAGCGACTATAGACTATATTTTGGCAGTTTTAGGGGAAGTTACCACAAGCCACTTTTTTGCTTAATGTATGTTGCAGCTGATTGACAGGTTGTGTAAATGATTGTTTGTATTTACTCGTCTATATTTACCTATTTGCATATATTATAAGAAATTATCAAATAAAATGCCGCATAATAGTATGACAGGTTGTGTAAATGATTGTTTATATTTACTCGTCTATATTTACCTGTTTGCATATATTATAAGAAATTATCAAATAAAATGTCGCATAATAGTATGACAGGTTGTGTAAATGATTGTTTATATTTGCTCGTCTATATTTACCTGTTTGCATATATTATAAGAAATTATCAAATAAAATGCCGCATAATAGTATGACAGGTTGTGTAAATGATTGTTTATATTTACTCGTCTATATTTACCTGTTTGCATATATTATAAGAAATTATCAAATAAAATGTCGCATAATAGTATGACAGGTTGTGTAAATGATTGTTTATATTTGCTCGTCTATATTTACCTGTTTGCATATATTATAAGAAATTATCAAATAAAATGCCGCATAATAGTATGACAGGTTGTGTAAATGATTGTTTATATTTACTCGTCTATATTTACCTGTTTGCATATATTATAAGAAATTATCAAATAAAATGTCGCATAATAGTATGACAGGTTGTGTAAATGATTGTTTATATTTGCTCGTCTATATTTACCTGTTTGCATATATTATAAGAAATTATCAAATAAAATGTCGCATAATAGTATGACAGGTTGTGTAAATGATTGTTTATATTTGCTCGTCTATATTTACCTGTTTGCATATATTATAAGAAATTATCAAATAAAATGTCGCATAATAGTATGACAGGTTGTGTAAATGATTGTTTATATTTGCTCGTCTATATTTACCTGTTTGCATATATTATAAGAAATTATCAAATAAAATGTCGCATAATAGTATGACAGGTTGTGTAAATGATTGTTTATATTTGCTCGTCTATATTTACCTGTTTGCATATATTATAAGAAATTATCAAATAAAATGCCGCATAATAGTATGACAGGTTGTGTAAATGATTGTTTATATTTACTCGTCTATATTTACCTGTTTGCATATATTATAAGAAATTATCAAATAAAATGTCGCATAATAGTATGACAGGTTGTGTAAATGATTGTTTATATTTGCTCGTCTATATTTACCTGTTTGCATATATTATAAGAAATTATCAAATAAAATGTCGCATAATAGTATGACAGGTTGTGTAAATGATTGTTTATATTTGCTCGTCTATATTTACCTGTTTGCATATATTATAAGAAATTATCAAATAAAATGTCGCATAATAGTACGACAGGTTGTGTAAATGATTGTTTATATTTACTCGTCTATATTTACCTGTTTGCATATATTATCAGAGATTATCAAATAAAATGCCGCATAATAGTACGACAGGTTGTGTAAATGATTGTTTATATTTACTCGTCTATATTTACCTGTTTGCATATATTATAAGAAATTATCAAATAAAATGTCGCATAATAGTATGACAGGTTGTGTAAATGATTGTTTATATTTGCTCGTCTATATTTACCTGTTTGCATATATTATAAGAAATTATCAAATAAAATGTTGATAATAGTATGACAGGTTGTGTAAATGATTGTTTATATTTGCTCGTCTATATTTACCTGTTTGCATATATTATAAGAAATTATCAAATAAAATGTCGCATAATAGTATGACAGGTTGTGTAAATGATTGTTTATATTTGCTCGTCTATATTTACCTGTTTGCATAAATTATAAGAAATTATCAAATAAAATGTCGCATAATAGTATGACAGGTTGTGTAAATGATTGTTTATATTTACTCGTCTATATTTACCTGTTTGCATATATTATAAGAAATTATCAAATAAAATGTCGCATAATAGTATGACAGGTTGTGTAAATGATTGTTTATATTTGCTCGTCTATATTTACCTGTTTGCATATATTATAAGAAATTATCAAATAAAATGTCGCATAATAGTATGACAGGTTGTGTAAATGATTGTTTATATTTACTCGTCTATATTTACCTCTTTGCATTTATTATCAGAGATTATCAAATAAAATGCCGAATAAAAGTAAAGTCTAAGGTATTTTAACCTATTGGCATACCAAAATTGCCCTACAAGATTACACTTACAGAAATTCCAAATTTTGTTTGCTCTTTTTTGTGATAACTATAGCTTCCTTAATTATTATTATGTTTGTTTAAATTATTATCTTTCTCCTCGGCTATGTATCTGTAATCTATGTACTGTACCACTCTATTTCACTCAACCACAAACAAGACAGTCATGGCACAAAACATAACCTCCCAACTCTCACTTATTGTTACTAATATTTTTGTTTTCCAAAATAGGTAGGCAATCAAGAAAACTAAAACTACACACAATATAACTATTGTAGATAAACGGAAAAAATTATTGATCTGACAAATTCTGCGATCTCTCAGAATAATGACGCTCAAATAGCAACGTCCTAGGACGGTACAGTTCTATCTAGGAATGCCATTATACAATGTAGGCCTAATAAAGATCTTGTTATCAACAGCCCAAGTGTTATAGAAAAGGCTAAACGTTTGTGCGTTCACTCCCCATGGGAAGTGTTCCCAGAATTAGGTAAAGCGCAAGAACTTTGATAATGAAAAAGATGCAGAGGGATCTAAAAGAAGCTTCAACATATCACAAAGGAAGATTAGATTTGTGTGAAAGACCAAAACAAAATCCTATGCAATGATTATGCCAAAGAATTAAGAGTGCACGATGATTTTAGCAGATCATCATCAACCTTCAGGACAAACGTTCTGACAGCGACAGCCGTTACGACACTGTTGAAGACGTTTAACAAGCCACAAATGGAAATTGTAAGTAGGCCTATATGAAATAATTCCAAAACCTACAACGTAAATGTGCTAGTAGATTGTAACGGAGTTACTACAAGTTAATAAGTGCTTATGATGGTGTAGATACATGGATCACATTAAATTGTTTAGATGACCTTGACAAATTTGGTGAATAGACAACCTTTAACAAGGAATTTACATAAATTAAAAGGATAGAATATTAAAGCAAAGTAGGCTACTTAAAAAGCAAGAATAAAAATATAGGAAAATCAATTTTATTTTTTAAATAATTAAATTTTTTCCAATGTTAAGATCAAACAAAAAAATTTAATTTGGAAAACAATCCCCTCCCCCATAAAAAAATAAATAGCCTATATTAGTGACATGGCCTATATTTTATAACATAGGCACAGAATTACATAAAAATGTGTTGAAAATAATATGCAAGCCAACAAACAGTTAAATTAGAGAAACTTAATTTTTATTTATGGTTCAACCATAATATGTAAATGACCATAATATGTGAAATGTAAAACAACAATATCAACTTTATTATTTTGGGGTTGACTCGAAACACTAAATAAATTCTAGCTTACTTCAGAAAGAAAAATAGTATGAAAGCAAAAAAATAATACTAATACTATTATTATATTGTAAATAAAACCTAATATTCCTTTTTTGATTCAGCCTACTAAGTATAATAAAACTAAAACTACTTTGATATTCAATTACAACTTCTACTGTAGGCTATATTTAACACATGATGATGCACTTTTAAAGGCACAATTTATGACTCACAGTTCTATTTATATTTTTAACACGCTTGAATAAAGATAGAGATGAAAGGTTATATAATTTTAAAGTGTAAATAGATAAATTTTTTTCCTACGTAGCCTGTTCTATATATTACCCTATTTTTTTATAGAAAATGTTTGTGTAACTGTGTAATCCGTAGTATTATGATTTAAATTCATACAGATGGGATAGAAATAAGCTCATATTATGGACGGCCAGAAATGAACATGTTTGTGGTTTTGACCTAAATAACTATTTTAGATGATTATTGTTCTACCCACTTAGCCATTAGGCTATGTGGACAATAAAGGATAGCCTATTAACTTGGAACTTCACTGTAAAACAAACAATAGTACAAAAGCCTATAATAGCCTAACAACAGCCTAAGGGTTTTGTGTTGTGTAAGAATAATGGATTTTAAAAAGAAGAAATAAGGCATCTAGGCCTAGTATGGTACTTTGACTGGTTAGGATTGAAATAAAATACAAAAATAACGGTTTAAATAACTCCAAACATTATTGTAAAAATAATTGAAAGTACAGCAGCTACTTACCGCCTATTATCCATCAGTCTATTACACAAATATAATGAACATATCCTCGAAAATAACACTTGGTTATCAAGTATGGAAAGTTAAGGATTGTTACCATAAAAATGGTACAATATCACTGAAAATAGTTATTTACCTTCAAGTAAACATTATACTAGCGATTATAAACTATTTCACTGTTATTTAACACATTTTTATTATCTCGCTGTCTTGTCTGTTCGGAACAAATTTTGCAATCAATTTTTTACAAACTTCCCGATGAGCTAGAGACTTTAAACTTGAAACATAGGTAGCTCACCAATGGATGACAATGCAATATCAAATCATTTTATTTTCATACTTCCCTTGGGCTGACGCCCCATGGGTTTCCAAAGTCTCACAATGTTTACATTTTGGAAGAATGTAAAATAGTAAGATCTCAGGCTATATCAATTGAAGTCAGCTGTAAATGCTTAAATTTACTACTTTAAAATTACCAGACCAAACCTCCTTCCGTATCGTGTTTCCTGGTACCGACGTTTTTGTAATGTTTATTTATTTTTTGTTTTATTGTTTGTGTGTTAAATGTATGACATATATGGATTTTAACTTCAACGACTTTCTCTTGAACGAAATTTGATGTCCTTGACAGCCTGATGAAGTTCCCATCCGGAACGAAACTGCAGTAGCCTATATTTGGGCTACAATGGATTACTTGACCGTATACAGTATTTAAACCATTATTTATTATTACCAGTGATCCGGAGGCTAACAACATAAAATTATTTTTATACCTACCTTTTTTTCAAAAGTTCCTAAGCTAGCCCAATGTTGGAGACTTGCTGGGGGAAGTCTTGTCTACAGGAAGTTGGGAGCTGTTGGGGTTGAGGTTTTAAAGTAGCCTATTGATCCTCAGAAGTTTTAGTTTATCCAGTAGCCTATCTTTTTTTTACGAAGTTGCAGTCTCAAGCTACTATAGAGGAATATAGCTTAGCTCTTGTTTCGTTAACTTTCAGCCTAAATATGTCCATAGGCTATAGGTTTTTTATGGACTAACCTGATAGTGATAATACAGCAAAACCCACGTATGTTAAATAATCACGTACGTAGTGCAGCATAGGCACGTAGATTAAATAGCCTACACAAAGTTCCATCATAATGCGCTTAAAATTTCAAAAAACTTTTAAGTTGTGAGATCGGAGTAAACAGGTCCATAAAAATAATGGTGAGCGATAAAATGTTTTTAAATGTTAAGTAATCTACCAATCGCTCAATATATTATAACTATGGTACGATATGGTATAATTTCCATTTCTTGCAATAAAACCAGAATACTTTCAGTATTGTGAGCAAGTGTTAGTAGCCTATTATTTTATACTCTACTAGTAGGCCTACACTATTCCTGGGCAGTGTATATGTATATAAAGTTTCACACTGAATAGGCCCTAAACCATCTACGATACAGCTGTGAACACCAATCTCTCCAGCTTTGCTAGTCAATGCAGGACATTGTGGAAAATATTTATTAAGTGATGACTGTTATAGACATCAAATTGGCCTACCTTCTTCCATGTCTGCGTCTTGAATGGTTTGTTCTGTGACTTCTCCGTTAATTGTTTGGCTGTCCATTAGTCCGCTAGTGTCATTGGGAGCATCATTTTCAACTGAAACACAAAACTACATCATAAATCTGGACGAGAGAGAGAGGGAGAGAGGGAGAGAGAGAGAGAGAGAGAGGGCAGCATTGCACTAAGCAGCAGGCTTAGGTTCGCAATAACTTACGTAATTTGGTCCTTACTTTACTAGGCTTTAAGTTAAGTTAGTTAGGCTATTAAGTTAACTTAGGTCTAACTTGAAACATGTCAAGCTTATGGGCGATTCCTACCAAAACATATTCACACATTTATTTGGAAACACCAGCTTGTACAAGAAAGTTACTAAGAGGTTGTACGTTGGACAGAATAGCCATAACATGTTTGCTGTAAAAAAATTTAGAATACTGTGGGAGCTAAGTTCTAAGTTAAAATCAAATTTATTCTCTATTTCACACCCAAAATAACATCTTAAGTATGTTTGCTTCTTAGGTAAGTTAACTGACAAGCTCAAACTTAAAACGAGAGATATAAGATAGGCCTTTGCATGATTCAGATCAGACTCCAAGTTGGTATACAAGAGTGAGGTAGGCTACCCTACTTTTTAGAATTAAATGCCAGCACATTCCACTAGCCTGTTCACATCACTTTGGCCCCCAATCGTTACGCCGACCGGCTGGCCGATTGTTACGTGTATGGGGTCACTGACAGGCCGCCGGAAGGCCAACAGTAGGATTTACGTTCAATTTGAGGTTAGGCACGGTGATGGACATAACCTAACTTTATTTTTGCTCAGTCTTTGTGTTGTGACATATATCGAGTGTTTTGTATTGTTCAGTGACAGTGCCTAAGTTAGAGTAGATAGAGTAATAAATAATTAATTTTAATTTTATGAGTAAGTAAAATAATTTTTCCAATCTTTGGGATAGGTACAATCTAAATTCTTCCAATTAATTGACATTGGTTGGTGCTGTTCTGTTTGAAGCAAAACACTTTTTATGCCATCAGCCCTCTTCCTCATTTTCCTTTTCTGCAGTGTAAATCGCAGCATACGCCATCACCTCCTCCATTTGAGACAACACAAGACATAAGACATAAGACATTTATTCATCATTTTTACATATGTAATGCATAGACAGGTCAAATTGTTGGTAAATACATCTCGTATTCAGTCTTGAGTAAATAAATGTATAAATATATAAATAACAAGTAATTCAGTTAATACAGTCAATATAATACAAGAGTTAAAATTGAAATTGAGCGACGAGCAAATAAATACAAAAGTTACAGACCATGGCAAGAGATTAAAAATTTGACAGTTTTGTGCAGCCCTCAGCATCGAACAAACCCGATTGCCGCGTGTGATTGGCTTTCCAATTTCGGGCTGACAAATAGCAAATAATGTGCGAGGATGTCCTGCTTTACAAAGAGAGTGGACGTAGTTCGCTAAACACCAACAGATAGCAGCACTGCTTGTAACATAGCCGGTCCCATTGGAATTGTATTGCCAAATGGAGGGAAAAAGACGGGACAAAAGTAGAATTTTGAGATTGCCAGACGGGGATTTACGGGAAGATCTACTACCAACCAACACCACAACAAAATACAGTATACTATTGAGCAGTGCTGTGCGAGGTTTCAAGTTTCTAGCTCTAATCCTGGCTTAAAAATAAATCATTTCATACTGCATTGCAGCTTGGGAGCGATCGCACCCACCAGGATGGCATTAGGGTTCCGTATGGGAGCGACCGCCGCGAACGTGTTAAGTTTTAGGCCTAACTTACGTCTAGCTAACTTATGAATTCAAAATACAATGCCACTGGCATAGGAGATAGCTTATTCCCTATATGAGAAATTCACTAAAAAAGAAAAGATATGTATATGCCTAAGTTATAACTTAAGTAAAAAGAGCAAATGCTTGTAAGTTTCACAGTAATTTACCTGATCATTTCTTGTTAACGGACAGTGATATTAGATTGGACAGTCTCACTGAATTTCAGTTTTAATTGGGATAACTTATTTACAGTAAGTTACTTAGGCCCTAACTTTTGTTAACGTGTTTAAGTTAATGTTAGTTTTACCTTACTGTATTAGCTACTTAACTTACTGTATTTTATTAAGTATCGGTTCTTCATATTTTACCCTATGGGGGATTGATGGCGTCATTATAAACATAAAATAACTTTTTAACTTATTTAGCATGGTAACTTAGGCTAATCGAAATTGTACCATAACTTAAGTTAATTTGTCTTTGACTTGGCTAAGTTAAGGCAATGTAAAACTAACTTAGGCCTAAATAGCTTAAAATTATCCCAAAATGTGATCAAACAAGGACAGTGCGCAGATGTCTTAGCAGAAAATATGCTAGCATAAATACAGAAATTTCCATAGCCTATGCTGAGTTATGTTATCTAAGTTAGGCCATACCCTAGATAAAACATGTACTCCCTTAGTAGAATTGTCATCCTTAAGGAATCAGTTGGAAGCCAATTTTATAACTTAAGTTAGTTAGTTCTGTACGTCGTAGGTAGCCTAACTTACTGTATGAGAATGAGAGAATGAGAATGATTTATTTCCTGAAAGCATAATATGTAGGCCTATAGGTCGTGTTTTGTTTACAATTTGTTTCTTGTTAACTTATTTCAGTCACTTAAGTTAAATAAAACCTCGTTAAACCAAATAGCCTAAATCACTTTAATCATATACTGATCTCCTAGTTAACTTAATGGCTGCACTTTACTTGACGTCCTACACTCATTCGAATGAAAATATCGATCGATATATCGATTGCTTCAAACGATATATCGAATGAAACAATCGAATGAAAATATCGAATCGAAAAAACAATCGAATGAGTGTAGGACGTCAAGTAAAGTGCAGCCAACTTAATAACCAAAAAGCACAAATCATTAAAATAGGCCGAGGCCTACCCCTAAGTTAAAATAATACTTAGAAACAAAATTTTGTCTACACTAGCGATCAGTACCTACATACCTAAATGAACTTAGACACGAAAAACAAACTTCAAAATTTACAATGGGATGAGAAGTCTACTTGTGTTGCTTAGTCTATGGTTAGGCCTAACTTAATTTAAGCTTAGCCTTAGTTATGACAATCTCTAGAGTAGCCTAGGCCTAGCCTACTTACCGTAAGTAGGTTAAACCAACAAGTAAGCTTAGAGAGCATAATCCAGCCTTACAAATAAGAGTAGGCCTAGGGTAAAATTATCTCATTAAAGGCCTAACTTAAGTTTTTAAAACCTGACTAAGATAACCTAAGGTTAACGTACTGGTACCGAGGCTGGCTTAAGGTTAACTTAGCCTATTTGTTTGTAGGCTATTTGATAATAGGCCTAGACATAAATGAAGACATTACTTGTCTGAGGCATTAGTAGATAAGCCAGAAGGTTTAAGTTAATTTGGCCTAAGTTAGGCCAAAATAGCTAAAGCTGCATTCAAAATAAATTATTGGCCTTAGGCCTACCTATCTTTGCAGTTAGGAGTGATCTGATCGTAGGTGGACTTGAAAAAATAGGTAATCGCCTAATCTAGAGAGGCTCAACATTCACACTAATGCCTGGCTAAGGGTTTAAAAGTGAACTAATTTAATTTGTTCAGGTAATATGGGAATCAAGCCAAATCCATTCTGTCATTTATTTTACTCTCAAGGGAGGTTTAAATAATTAATTATTATGAATCGTGAGTGTGTTACAATGTTAAATTGAAAGATGGTGCAAAGAAATAGCTAGCTGCTAATCGTTAATTTTTACAATAACATAAAGCAAGGTCCTAGAAAGAAATCTGAAATAATGGAGTTGACGCCTTGACATAAGGAACGTTCATTCTCATTAGATGAAAATCTTGACATCTTACCTTCATGGGTATCCATTTCTTCAACATCGTTGTTTTGATTGACTGCATCAATAACGTGGTTCATATTATCGTTCGATAGAATTTGGTTATTTTTAGTAGAATTATTATGAATTTTAAGTTTTTTAATGCTAGCGGCCACACGATCCTCAGAACTGTGATTTTTACCCGACACGGCAAGTTTGACGGGTTTACTTGCGATGCGCCCAATGTCTGCAGATTTCTTCACCCCCTGTTTCCAGGGGAAACAACGCAACCATATATATTTCTAGTAAGTAATAAGCCCACGAATCTTAATTACAACTACAGAATTTGTCAAAAGTCACAATGTAAATTCACATGAAAATAAACAAAATGGCTGACGGGTTAACTTCGTGGATTTGCGCAGGCGCTGTGTAGCGCAGTTGTGGTTTTCGGTAAACTACTACTCCAGAAGTCCAGTGTAGAGCCAAAAAAGACTGATGACTTAGCACTCTAATAAGCTATATATTTGAGAGAAACATATAATATTATAATGATCGTGTTTATAATTTGTTCATAACACTAGAATGACTGAATATTGAAAATTAAGACAGTTACCTTCTCTATTATTTAAGATGGGATTCATGTTGTGGAAACATGTTAGCTGTGTCTAAGGAACATGTCGGCCTTAGTCACTAACAAGACTACAAGATCGCGCCACTCATCCTACACTCATCCTTCACTCATATTTGGGTTAAAATACGCACATAGTGGCGTCCCCATCTTAAATAATTGATATAATTGATATAAATATATACGATAAACAAGTCGTTTTGATGTCATATGTTTGAATATAAGTACTAAAACAAAACATTGGCTGGGGCACAGTGTAGAAACCAAATGGCAAACTAACAACTAAGCAAAACACAAGTAGACTTTTCATCCCATTGTAAATTTTGAAGCTCGTTTTTCGCGTCTAGTTCATGTCCGGCACGGCCGCCTCTACCTCTGTGTGTCCGGTGACATTCAGATTGCTAGTATTGACGAAATGTTGTTTCTATTATTTGTGGGTTAGTTTCGCGTTATTTTGTGCTTTACTGTTTGGTTGTATAACTAGTAGTTGAGTTATTGTTTATGATTATATCGTTTTATTTGGTTAAACGGGGGTTTAAATGACTGAAATAACAAGAAACAAATTGTAAACAAAACACTACCTCTACAGTACACCGGACAGAACTAACTATAAAATTTGCTAATTAGTGTGAACTAACTATAAAACTATCAACAGAAATCTGTGACAACTTGAACCTAACTATAAATAAGAAGAAAACTATACACATAAAATTCACAACTACAAACAGACAGCAAGAAGAAGAAAACCTCACGCAGCAAAACATAACCGACAATGCAAAATTCCTAGGAATTACAATTGATAAGAACCTAAACTGGCACAAGCATATAGACAACTTGCATAAAAAACTGTCATCAGCCCTTTTTGCACTGAGAAGAATACGAAAAATTACAAACAAATCGATAACAATAACAGCATATCACGCACTTTTTGCAGCTCACATAAATTTTGGAATAATAGCCTGGGGATCCACAGATCAGACATCATTAAAGAAACTTGTAATACTGCAACAAAAGGCTTTGGGAATTATAGAAGAAGCACACTACCAAGACCACTTTTTCCCAAAAAACCAAATCCTCACCATCACCTCCACCTATATCCTTGAAGCAATAAAGTTTATAAAAAACAAACCAAACACTCTTAGACACGAATGCCACAAACCACAAATATAATCTGAGAAACAAAACAAACCTAAACCTAGAACAACATAGGCTCCAAAAAACTAGCTCAACCCCACATTTCATGGGAACTAGGCTTTTTAATCTTCTACCACACAATCTAAAATCAATAACTGACACTAAAAGTTTTATTAAATCACTAAAAAAATATCTTCAAACCAAACCATATTTCAACCTAAATGAATTTTACAATGACCATAACTTCCTAAATAGGCCCTAAAAAAAATGCTCACAGCAGGCCTACAGCATGAAGAAAGAAAATTCTGACGATTCCCCGATCTTGATGACCGTGGAGAAGATGAAGTGAACTATGAACTATGAACTAACTATGCTTCAGCTGTTCTAAAAGGATGAGAAGTCTACTAAAGGAGTATGTTTATCTGATTATTAATTAATACAACTTCAGTAATAGTCAATCGTTTTATCTATGCTAATTGCTAATAATTATAACACTTTAAAATGAAACAACAATAAGGTCATTGGTTGAAGTTCCATATATTCAGATGTAGGTGTTTGCCGGGGGCTTCAGCCTAGGAGGGGGCCTATTTTTTTTATTAATTTATTTCACCGATAATCTGCTTTGTGGGAGACGTCGATGAAATCAGCGCCACCGCAAAAGATCTTCACTATTTTGTCGTTAAGGTAGGAGTTGTCACTATTCAACCACGATCGCGGAATGTCCAGGATTTTATCGCAACCGCGGGAGTGTCGATAGTTATGTCCCCAAAAACTCGGAAGATCTTCACGATTTCACAATGATCGAAGGAGACGAAGATGACGTCTCCGCTCTCGCGCAAGATGCTAACTATTTCTCCGCGGCCACAGAATACTTTCATGATTTCCCTACGATCAGAGGAGACGGAGATGGCGTCTCCACGCTCGCGCATAATGTTAACTATTTCTACACGGCCAAAGAAGTCATTCATGATTTCGCCGCGATCGGAGGAGACGAAGTTGACGTCTTCGTGCTCGCGCAAGACGCTAACTATTTCTCCATGGTCACAGAACACTTTCGTGATTTCGTTGCGATCGGAGGTCTCCAGCCACACAGCCACAGTTACACCACAGCCATACGAGACGTTCATGGTTTTTACCGTAATCGGGAGGCGACGATGATGACGCCTCCGCGCTCGTACAAAGTGCTAACTATTTCCATATGAGATGTTTATTATTCTAGCAACCCAACGTGTTCGCAGGAGACGAAGATGATGTCTCCGTGGTCACCCCATATGGTGTTCACTATTTTTCCGTGAATGTAGACATGTGCCGTTCGCAATCCCTCCGCAAACACGGCAGATATCCACGATTTTACTGTGACCGCAGAAGGCCCTAACAATTTGGCCTAGATTCCAGATTTTGTGCAAACCGATTATAGTGTATCAATTATTAATATATTTTAAATTAATTATTTCTGAAACTAGGCTACCCGATTTTGATCCGATGCCCAAAAGATCATGATTGTTTACTGAACCTGAAAGAAATGAAAAATGATGGGTCCCAACAAGACTCCTAATGTTATAAAAAAATAATAGACAAATTATTTTATTAGCTAAGTCTCCTAAGTCTTTTTGCCGGTCAGATCGTTGAAAACAAAAGACCAATAATTCATTGAGTTGAAGAAATACCTCTTTTCCAACCTTCCATAGAATCAGAATATAGAGGGGCCTTACTAGTGAGAGCCGAAGGGGGCCACATCCTCATGGGTTCTAAATAAGGCCCTGTATCAGGTCCACACTGTACAGAAAAATCCGTCATATCTGATACTATTTTTCTATAGATAGTCTGGGACGGGAAAAATCTTATCTGTGTATTTCATTAGATAAGGCCGACTCAACGGAGCGATCAAGGGATCAAGCAACACATTTAAATTGCTCTTTTAAAGTTCCATTTTGTTGAACTAAATGCATGTTTTTTCCTTGTAATTCCAAAACTGTAGGAAAAACTAATTCTAGTGATTTATCAGTAATATCCAGGGGGAACTCAGATGTGTAATGAATAACTGTGGATGTCACAAAGAAATATTTTTCATTAGATACTATTCGGGCAGGGGACTCCTGGGTAGACGAGTCTTTTGGAGATATAGTGATATAGTGACTGGGTGAGACCCAGAGTGTTTAATGTTAGATGCTGTAGCTAATTGCTGACTTAGCTGAATCAGTTTTTATTACTGCACTAGCTGGCCCGACAGACGTCGTCCTGTCCTAATGTGGTTTTATGTCAATGCTTGTTCATTTTCAAGATGAGCTCGTTCGCATGGCTCAATCACGTCCTGGTTGAAGTTCGTTTGCTACGCTTACTCTTACTCACCATTAGGTTGGAGCTCGTTCGCTACGCTAACTCGTCTCCAGGCTAAACATTAATAGTGGTGCACCATGTTCGTAAACCTATTACAATAATGCTATTGAACATCACAGAATCAAATTGTTTAGTTGAACCAGGTGTTAAGACTCTTTAATTCCATTGAAATATGAGTACTCATAAGGTTAACATGGGAAACTCCAGAGCCACTAGGACGGAGCCCTTTTGACGGATCTGCACCAAACTTCACACAAACCATCCTTGAATACCGGTATTGCTTAATAATGCCTGAAAGTTTCATTACAATCTGTCGAGCGGTTTCAGAGTCCATAAAGGACAAACAAACAAACAAACATACATTGGATTTTATATAAATAAAGATATATTTGTTATATATATATATTTCATAGCTGGCTTGACAGATGTCGTCTTGTCCTAATGTGGTTTTATGTCAATTGCTCGTTCATTTTCAAGATGAGCTCGTTCGCATGGCTCAATCACGTCCTGGTTGAAGTTCGTTTTTCCCCATTTTTTTATTTCCTCTATTTTAAGCTCCATCTTTGTAGTCAAGATAATATATTTTATTCACAACAAAAATACAATTGTAAACAAAACATGCATTGGTTTAAATAACTGTATTTATTTTATTTTATATACCAACGGACATCTCCAATTGTATAAACTAGACATAACAACATTACTCTTAAGTGACTGTAGAATTAAAATACATTTTTGTACAACATTCCAACCCAGTAATAAATATATACATAAGTATGACACCCCGTATAATGAAGATGATAACGAATGAATGATGATGATAATAGGTAATGAATGAATCTCTTCAATGTGTAAACAGATCAAATCTTATATTATATTCTTCACAAATTAATATTATCTCAACAGGTGTAATATCTATGTATGTTGCTCCAAAGGTCAGGTACTGAGTATGTTTTATCTATGGTCCTATAGTGTAAAGCTGGTCAGATGTATCAGGTTGGCATTGGGTGGGGTAGGGAACCATCCATACAGGAAATTACTGAAAGAGTCAAGTGGTGTCAAAGTTGCTTCATGTCATGTCTATCTTGATGTGGTTACATTCTTTACCTTGTAATAGTTATTTTTATTCATTTTAGAATAGTGGTTAAGTGGTAGAATTATTGATAACTGATAAATAAATAATAAAAGTTAAATGATTGTACTTCTAGTGTCCATGATGGAAGGAAAATACATACGTGTGCTATTCCCGTTATACTGACGTCACCCTAGATTGCATAAAAAAAATCAGCTGATTGAATTGCCATATGAAAGTATATGTTTGTTTTGATTTGA